ACTCTGAGGGCCTGCTGGCCCTGGCTCGGGCCTAGCCCTCGGTTGGCGGGTAGCAATATACTTTCTTGTGACCTCCTTCTCCCCTCCCCATCCTGAAGTACAGATAGGAACCCGGCTTTATGGATTGTTGGCAAGGGGGTGAGGGGTCGGGGTGGGGCCTGGGTTTCAAGTATCTGTGAGCTTAGATTAACCCTGTATTTTAAAGCCATAGCACTCAGCGCCCAGGGCCAATACAGGCACTTCATGACATCTTCAAAGTGCCCTGCACGGACAAGCGTCACCTTCTCCCACCTGAGGTGGGGACTGAGGCCAACGTGGCCCAGCACCTGGCAGTTCTGGCGAGCTATTTCCTCCTGAAAGCGAGGGCTGAGTGTTGGGGGAGCCTCCTGGGAAGACTGCCATTCCAGCAGCTGCTGAAGACTGGGGCGCCAGCTTCGATCAGGAGTTCCACACTCCCGCACCGCAGAGAACAGGTGCGCACTGTTGCAAGGTTCGGGACCTCGCCAAGTGGTGCCCTGGGGTTGCCTCTGCGAACAAGACAGGCAGGCAGAGGGGGCGAGCACTGAAAAGGTCTTCCAGGAGGAGGACCTGAGAGGGGCAGAGGCTGGGGCTGGGGTGGGGAGCAGGGTGGGACCTCCCGGGGAAGGGCTGCGGTGCAGGCCAGTGGGAGTGACCTGCTGGGGAGGCCACCCCTGGGCCCCGGGAGCCGCTGACCCCACGGCCCCCAGCTTGCTTTCCTTGCATCACCTCATCAACCCCCGACGACCAGCTGTGGGGAGGGGGAGGCGGGGCACAAATGTCAAGGATGCGCAGTCTCTGCCGCCCGGGAGCAGGGGCGTGAGCGGCCAGCGGGGAGGACCCGCGAACCAGGGGCGCCGCCCCGAAGCCGGGGCCCTCGGTGTGGCGTGCGACAGCCCGGACTGGGCCGAGCCCGAGCGGGGCGCTCAGCCGGACAGGCCAGGCCGGGAGTAGCTACGCGACGCGGCGGAGTCCTCAGGGGCCGCACGGCCACCTCACCCCGACGCTGCCGCCGCAGACGCAGAACAACTCAGCGCGCGCGCGCCGCGATCAACCAGCGCGCGAGGCCGAGCGGCCAACCCAGAATGCAGCGCGCCGCAGGGGCAGCCGGCCGCGGGGCACGCCGGGACCGGCAGTGGGGCCGGGGGCCGGGATGGGCGGGCCGCGGGACCGGCCGCCCCCTCAGACGGGGCGGGTCGCGGCTCTCGGACCCAGCCCAGAGCCGGGGTCCCGCCTGGGGGGACCTTGCGCGGCCTCGCCCGTCCGCCCTGCCCCGGCCGGCCGTTCGCCCCGGGGGTGGGGAGCGCCCGGGCCGTGGGTGCGGGCGGGAGCGGGCCCGTGACTCACTCGCGCCGTGACCTTAATCGCTCGGCCACCGGCCGCTGCGTCCGGAAAGTTTTGAAGAGAGCACGCTGCCAGCCAGCCTGGGGCGGTGTCGGCGCTCCCCGCTCGTGGTCGAGCCCAGCGGACCTGGCGCCCACTCGCGAAGACAGTCTTGCCTTCGGGCCGCGTTTGGGGCTGCAGAGATGGCGGGGGGCACGGCGGGCACCTGTACCCGTCCTGTGGGACGTCCGTGGGACCGATACCCTTATGGCATTCCACATGGGCGTCGTGCAGGGTCCCAGGGCCTTCCCCTATGGCCTCAGGCAGGTGTCGTTGTCCCTGGAGCCTCAGAGATGCTAGCTGGGACCCAGAGACCGCACCTGAGGCCGGGCTCTCGGGAGCCCACATGGAGGGCGCCTGCACTGACCAGCTCTCCGTGTTTCTTTTTATATATCCTTTCTCAGTCTGTTGCTTATTATTTTGTCCAGTGAGATTGAGATTCTCAAGTAAAATTATCTGTTTCAAGGTATTTACCCTTTGTAAAGGCACCCTAGAAAACATGGTTCTTGTCGTTTTTGACACTGATGGCTGATCAGCTGCTTAGACCTTTGGAGCCAGGAGGGCGTGGAGCCTCAGCGAGCACTCCTCTGTGAACCCACAGTCTGGCTGCCCAGTCCAGCCTGTAGTTGTCTCTTCTGTTCTCAGGGCGCGCTCTCTCTCTCTCTCTCTCTCCCCTTTCTTGCTTCTTAAGGATGGTGGTAAAGATACTTTGGCCACGCACATTTCTGTAGCATGTTTACAGTTTAGAAGTTAGCTGAATTTGTTTTGTGCTTGAATCATTGCGGGAACACAGGTGTTTCCCATAGTAACTAAGACATGAAGGGACTGAGAGATGGTCAGGACCCAGGGCTGGACTGTAGGGAGCCAGTCCCAGAACCCTTGAAATGATGCTCCCAGCTGAGCTGGGGGCAGTCTGTTTCTGGAGCACATTGCCTCCTTTATTAACATCTTACATCAGTTTGGGTCTTGTCATAATTAGTAAACGCACAGTATTACATAATGCATAAAGTATTCAGGTTTCCCTTATTCTGCACATAGTTTATTCTGATGTCCTTTATTTTTGTCCCAGGACCCCATCCAGGACACCCCATTACGTTTAGTCACAATTTCTTTTTGGTATCTTGACTGTAATGGTTCCTCAGACTTTCCTTGACAGTTTTGAGGAGGTCTGGTCAGGTATAGTGTAGGACGTCACCTGTTGGGATTTGTCTGATGTTTTCCTCATGTTTAGACAGGTTCAGGGTTTTCGGGAGGAAGATCCCGGAGGTGAAGTGTGTCCTCATCCCTTCCATCTAGGGTGCCTCCTGCAGCAGGACTTACCATGGCCTGCTGACCTTGATCAGCCGGCTGAGGTGGTGTCTACTGTAGAGTCACTTCCTGCCCTTTTGCACACTGTGCTCTTTGGGAGGAAGTTGTGTGTGGCATGGACTTGGGAGTCGGCTGGGACTTGCAGAGGTGGCTGACCTGATTTGCCAAGGACTGGGTGTGAGACAGAAGGCCTGGCCTCCCGCCATTATTGAAACAAGGGAGCGGGCTGGGAACCCAGGAGTTCTTGGAGCTGTTGCATGTGAGGTGCCCGTCGGACCTGAAGACCTCGTGTACCCATGTGTGTTCAGGTGTGGAGTGCCTTGGGAGGATCCTGCTGGAGCTTAGCAGGGAGGACCCAGAGAACGTGGTTCCTGGAAGCCAGGTGAATAAAGGTGTGGCATAGGAAGAAATGAGTTTGGTTTCTTTTTCTCATCCTGGGTTCCTGGCAGAGCCCCCAAAACCCTAGGAATTTCTTGAATGATAAGCAGATCTTTTGGTATTCATAATGAGCCGCTTTCCCACATACCAGAGTTTGCACCAGCTATGCACCTGTGATTAGAGGGTGGGACCTTCCAGACCCACGAGGAGGGGAGGGGTCTGGAGACGGAATTCAGTTGCCAGTGACCAAGGGTGTAATTGATAATCCCTAGGCCCTGAAGATAGGGACTGGGGATGGGAGGCCTGGGGAGCGTCAGGGCTGGGGGTGCCTGCCAGGCAGAGGGGACAAGAGCCGCTGTACCCGAGGACGCTCCCAGGTCTCACACTGTATCCCTTTCCATCTAGCTGTCTGTCTGTATCCTTTATGATAAACCACGGTGTTGGCTTGAGTACTTTCTTGGGTTCTGGGGGGCATTCTAGCAAATTATCGAAACTGAAGGGGTCATGGGAACTCCAGAATTTATAGTTGGCAGAAGTGTGCAGACCCCACTTGCAACTGGCATTTGAAGTGGTGACAGTCTTGTGGGACCAAGCCCTTCACCTGTGGGTCTGCATGCCCTCTGGGGAGTAAGAGTAGAACTGAGTCGTAGGAGACCCAGTGGGGGTGAGAGGTGGAGGGTGGGTGTTGGGAAAGAAACCACAGAAGGGCCCTCAGGAGGACGGAGTGGCCCGGCAACCCCCTGCAGAGCCTGGAGCCCAGTCTGAGTTTACTGTGAAGGCTTCTGAGTGGGGAGAGCAGGGGAAGGGGCTGCCAGGGTCAGGAGGGGGCAGGCCAGGGGGTGCTGGGTGCTGTGGCAGCTGGTCTGGTTGTTGCAAGGTTGTGGGGAAGCTTCTGTTTGGGAGACAAGGTAGATGGGTCCACCTCGGCTGGAGTGACGGCTTGGGAACTAGAGTTAAAGAAAGTGTTAGAAGTATATCAGAATCCTAAAAATGTGCTGTGCGCTCATCAACATGGTATATCCAAGAAACGGTTTACTCTTGGTTTTGGTTTTCCTGGTCATTCTCATAACCCCCACCCTTCACATGGGCATGGGGGGTATTGGGTCATTTGGATGGGGCCCTTGCCATCTAGTCAAAGCTATGGTTATTCCAGTAGCCATGTATGGATGTGAGAGTTGAACTATAAAGAAAGCTGAGCAGTGAAAGATTGATGCTTTTGAACCGTGGTGTTGGAGAAGACTCTTGAGAGTCCCTTGGACTGCAAGGAGATCCAACCAGTCTATCCTAAAGGAGATCAGTCCTGAATATTCACTGGAAGGACTGATGCTGAAGTTGAAACTCCAATACTTTGGCCACCTGATGCAAAGAGCTGACTCATTGGAAAAGACTTTGACGCTGGGAAAGCTTGAAGGCAGGAGGAGAAGGGGACGACAGAGGATGAGATGGTTGGATGCCATCACTGGCTTGACGGGCATGAATTTGAGTAAACTCCGGGAGTTGGTGATGGACAGGGAAGCCTGGCATGCTGCAGTCCATGGCGTTGCAGAGTCAGACATGACTGAGCAACTGACCTGACCTGACCTTGCTTGCTCTGTGCAGCTGTCTGCCTGTTAGGGGTCATGTGTGCCCTGCTTCTTCAACCAGAGGCAGCTGGAGTGAGTCGGGGTGGTCCCACCTGGGGAGACCTGATGACCCGGGCTCCCTGGGCCTATGTCCACCGGAGTCTGGTCCCCAAGTTAGGGTGTGTTCAGCCAGGGATGCTACCAAGACACTACATTTCACCTGGGGCAGAGCCCTCACCACACAACACTCAGAGTGGGCTTCCAGAAACTTGCTCCACAGAAGGAAGAGATGCCTGCATAAAGCCACTGTTTGAAACTGACTTTGTTTTTTCTGTTTTTGTCACAGGTCCTGTTGGGGATCCGGCCTGCCTTAGTGGTGCCAGTGCTGTGGGGTTGATGAGCTACGTGTGAGTAAATGAATGTCACTTTCTGCCTGTTTAAACATGGGGGCTTGAAAGTGCTCAGGTGATGTGATTCTTGGCTTGGGGGTGGGTGGTATATCCTACTTTGTTCTTTTAAACCAGTATTTTTTCATCTTGACATATGTAACCACATATTTTAGTGAATATTTGGAAAATAAACACTCATAATCCCAGGACCTGTTACAGGTATTATCAGCCTTTTTGGTGTATTATTCTGGTCTTTTTTCTTTTTTTTAATTAATTTATTAGGCTGTGCTGAGTCTTAGTTGTGGCATGTGGGATTTAATTCCCTGACAAGGATCAAACCCAGGCCCCTGCATTGGGAGTGTGGAGCCTTAGCCCTTGGACCACAGGAAGTCCCTCGTATCTCTGTTCTAAACCTGCAGCGCTGTCCACAGTCTGCACAGTTGCTGAGGCTCTTCCATCCTCACACAGCTGCTGTTCCAGGGCCTTCTCGTGTGAACGCCCACAGACCCTCCCCCACACCACGCTCGGTCCTTCCCAGAGGACCCTGTGGATTGATCGTGGGGCTTTCCCTACTGGTCTGGGGATGGACCTGGAGTGTGGTGGGAGGGCTTCCCTGTTTGCCGTCACCCACAGATGTGTTTCCTGTGGAGCTGCTGCGCTCTCCCTGTCTGCCATCAGCCCCGTCCGCACCCCAGGCTTGGTCTCCTGACCCTCACCTATGTGGTGGGGCGTCCATGTCCACCTGCCCTGGTGCCTGGAGTGGACACCCATGATCCTTCTTGTGTGAGAGTGTCCAGCCCCTTATGACCCCTTGTCCCCGGAACTGGGGTGCTTTGGGTTCTTTAGTTGACTTTTCTCCTCCTCTTGGCTCTGAAACTCCGAGAGGGTGCTTCCTGTGACCAATTCAATTCCCTAAAACAAAGACTGCACAAGTTATGTGCTTGGCTGTTAAGGCAAAAGTGTGTGTAAGCATATTTTCAGTTTTTTGGTTCTAACATCAAGTGCTGGAATGAGGAGCTCGCCCAGCCTCTCTGCCCGAGAGTGACTCCTTCATGGAGGGGCAGGGGTGCGTGTGCAGTGTGTGACGGGGATGCGACAAAGTGTTTTCCAAAAGCCCCTCCCCGCAGGCCCCTCCTGCTGCCAGGGTGCTCCCAGCCAGCTCTGGGCTTTGATTTGATTAGGCTTCTCTCCTGACAGTCCCCAGACTTTGTCTCCATGCAATCTCTTTATGACATAGAGGCATTAGCATACGAGCCTAGAACCTCTCTGCTCTCACTGAAGTGCATCCTTCCGGCTGTCAGAGTTCTCAGTGACCTTTGTAACCTGCGGCTGGCATTCCGGGGTTTGGGGGCCCAGGGAGGTGACTTGGGGATTGTGTGTAGGGTGTGGCCTGCAGGCTCAGCTGTCGGGTTTTGGTGTGAAGTTGTTGGTTTTAAGGTAGTGACTGCCGAACAGGTGTGTGGTCTGGACCAGCCCGGGTGCCTCGGGTCAGCTGGCGCCCGCCGCCCTTGAGCAGGGAGGATCCACCCCTGCTGGCACCTCTGTTCTCCACAGCCTTCCAGACAAACTTCTGAATGAGTTCAGTTCTGAAATGGTCTTTGGGGGATTGTAACTGGAACAGTCATTAAATCTGTAACATCATTTGGGAATATTAACTTTGTACTCTTTCCACGATAAGTTGTTTTCTTTATTAAGACTTTCTCTCTTTGGGGAAAGAGTGTGTCATGTTCTTTGCTTAGGCAGCGTGCACTGCCTTTATGACAGCTTCCAGCTGTGCTCCGTTTGGAGGTGCCGGGCGCTCCCTCTGTGTTGCCTTTCTCGGTGATTGTTGGTGGCATGGACGTCACTCACTCGAGGTCTCCTGTGTGGCCACTTCACACAGCTCTGTGAGTTGTTTTTAGCTCATCTGGTAGTTAATCCCCAAGTGCACTGTAATGATTTTTTTTGTCTTTTCCTTCCCAGTGCATTTGCTTCTGTTGTAGTTTTTTTAATCTCGGTGGCCAGGTCTGTTATCAGAGAGCCGTAGTCACGCATGCATTATGATGACAGCAGAAAACAGCGATCTAGCGTTGTATAAGTTCACAGCATTTAGAAAGTTAAAGTGCCCTCCCTCACAAGGCTGTCCTGTGGCCTCCAAGGCTCCAGTGGGTGTTGTGGGCCGCGGTCCCCAGGTCCCAGCCGACGTGCACGTTGTTCTGCGGGCAGGGTGGGGTCCCTGGGCACCTGTGCTTTGGGGCCGCCTCCAGGGTCATGTGTTGCTGCAGTGCCTGTTGCTCCATCCTGCCTTCCCTCTCCTGTTTGCCCTGAGGAGCTGTGGGGCACAGGGAGGGTTGGCACCCACCTGGCCCGACCCCAGGCCGCCCTCTTGGCATGCTGACCCCTGGTTTGGCAGGCGTCAGAGTCGAGTCGTGCCTGTGTGGAGAGCTGGTTGGGTCCCTGCGGCGGGCGCCTTGGGCGCAGGGACGCTCTGGCGGCCCCGCTTGGCTTCTCCCCCGGAAGGTATGGGCAGGTGCTGGGCTGAGGTGGACCTGGGTCCACGTTCTTGGGCAGATGGGCAGGGCCTCCTGCAGCGATGTGTGATTCCTGTTGAGATGCAGCTTTCAGCTAGAGTGCTGTGCACATACAGACGCGCTCTCTCTGAAGATGGTTCACCCCAAAAGAGAGAAGGAAAAGAAAGGCTGCAGGGCGTGGGGTAGGTGGTGGGGTCCTGGCCCCGCCCAGCTGAGCGGCCAGTGCTTTCAGGACACGGATGCCTGGGCCCTGGCCGCTGGGGAGAGTGGGGGCCGCCCTCTGCCCACCAAGAGACGGTGGTGCCCAGGTTAGTTTCATTTCAATGGAGATTTTTTAAGTGATAAATTATATAATTTGTACTTTTTGAAAATAGCTAGATTGCCCTGGCTAGACAGTTGATAGCCTCTCAAACGTGCCTGAAGGCAGCCGGATTCCTGGGCCCTCACAGCCCTCGCCCAATACGCCCTAGGCTGCTCTGCTGGGTCTGCCTTCCTGGGTCTCTGTCCTTGCCTCCTGACTGCCCCTTGTCACTGACGTCATACCTTGTGGAAGCCACTTGCCTCCTCGGTAATGGGGTTGGAAAAGTGGATAGTTAAGCTTGGTGAAGACAGGAGGTGAGGCGCCTTCCTGGGTGGGCATGGTCACCGCCCGCTGGGAGGGCAGAGGATGCAGGCGTGGGCCCTGCTGGGCTCTGGGCGAGGCCATTCTCCAGCCACTGGGACTCAGACAGGGCAGGGCTGAGGGACCGGTGGGACAGGACCTACCTGGCCCTTTAAGGCAGAAGCAAGGGCCTGGGACAAGAGAGGCTGCAGCCGTCACTGCCCAGCTGGCCAGAGCCAAGGCGGCCATCCAGTGCCCCCACATGTAAGGGCAGAGCTTCCTCCACCCCGACTGGCGGCGTCTCAGCCCCAAGCGTGCCTGAGGAGCTGCTCGGGGTTCATCCCCATGGGCTGCTCGCACAGCAGGGAGGCTGCCTGTCCCAGGTCACGTGGCAGTCAGCAGCACAACCCAAGTTTGACCTGGGCCAGGCTGCGCAGACCTTGAGTCCCCGCTGCTGGCAGCAGACCAGGCGTGCAGAGATGACCAGATAGGTGGGAAGAAGCTGGGGTGTGCTGGCAACAAACAGCCCTGCCGCCGGGCCTCTGGCTGCCCCAGGGTGGACTTGTGTGTGAGAGGAAGCATTCTCTAAGGGACAGGTAAGGTACAAAGGCGTGAAACACAGGAGGAGGACTGTGAGGTAAATCCTGTTCAGTGATAGATTCTGTGCGGCCTTCTGCCGCCGGAGGAGGACCTCCTCGTTGTGCCCAGACCTTGGGCCATGCTAGGTCTGGATGGGCACTGAGAGCTGGGCAGTGCCCGGCGCAGGCTCCAGAAACTCAGCTACAGCCAGTGGCCCTCCTCGCGTGGCCGTCTGCAGGCAGACCTGAGGGTACAGCTGTGTTGCGCTGGAGGAGCACGCTGGTTCTTTTGCTGCCACAGGGTCAGGTGCCCTGCAGGCCTGATGTGGTGCCAGTGGAGAGGGTACCGAGGCGTGCAGGCAGCTCACCCGCTCCTCGCGGGGCCTCCTGGAGCTGGTGGTCCAGTGGGAGGCGGTCCGCATGTGAGGATTTGAGAGGGTGAGCTCAAGAGCGGTCTTGCAGGTCAGGGGCCAAGAGAAGCCCTGGTGTGGGAGGAGAGGTGGGCCTGGGCCTGGGCCTGACCGAGGGGCCTGTGTGGGAGGAGAGGCCTGGGCTGCGGGCTCTACCCTGCGCGTCCACCCTTCTGCACAAAGGCCTGTGGTCAGCTGATGCATAGGTCCGGGTCATTCTTGACTGGAACATTCTCCCTAAATTTCAGCACTTGCACAGGAGCCGTGGGTCTTGGTGAAAACTCGCCATTAGGGGAAAGCACTGGCCTGGGGGCCCCTCCCGGAGGCTGGGTCCTTCTGCTCTGCGGGTTGAGCCTCTGCTGGTTGGTTGTGTCTGACCTGCTCCTTTGGGGCTGTGAGACCTCTGTGAGCAGCCCCTTCGCCTCTGACGGTGGGAGTGGCTCCCGCCAGGGAGGGGCCGGGAGTCTGTCCTGCCGGGACAGTTGGCCGGGAGGTGAGACCGGCAGCTGGCCGGCACCTCACCCCTCTTCTCTCCCTCCCAAGGCCTGTTCCGTCGGGCAGCCGCACTCCCGTCCACCCCGTCTACCTGTCCTTCCGCGGCCACCCCCTGCGCTGCTGGGCGCCGAGGCCCCAGCGCGCGTGCGCGGTGCTCGCGGGGCCGGGGCGCCTGCCTGTGCGCTGCTGGCACTCGTCGAGTCCGCTGCGCGATGACTCCGTGGTGGAGAAGTCCCTCCGGTCCCTCAAGGACAAGAACAAGAAGCTGGAGGAAGGCGGCCCGGTGTACAGCCCTCCCGCACAGGCGGCCGTGGGGAAGCCCCTGGGGCAGCGGGTCCTGGACGAGCTGAAGCACTACTACCACGGCTTCCGCCTGCTCTGGATCGACACCAAGATCGCCGCGCGCACGCTCTGGCGCATCCTCCACGGCCACAGCCTGACCCGCCGCGAGCGCAGGCAGGTAATGGGCGCCTCCGCACCGCCCCGAGGGGGACCGGCTCCGGGAGCACGGCCGATCGGGGGCTGGGGCAGCAGGGCACTGAGACCACCTGTGTCAGAGAATAAACGGTGGGGCGCTCCTGGGAGGGCATGGGGAGTCGAACGGGACTTTGCCTGGTCTCCTCTGCAGTTGTGTGTCGTTCCATGTTTTTTCATGATATTTAAATGGAACGTTCCTTTGTTGGAAAATACGCACCCTAAAATTTATTTTTACCCATTTTTAAATAAACAGTCTGTGACATTAAGTCCATTCACACTGTGGTGAATTCGGTACCACCAGAACTCTTCATCTCTTCCTCAGCTGAACCTGCCTGGTTAGATAACAGCTCCCCGTCTCCTGCCCCAGCCTCTGGCCCCACCACTCTACTTCCTGTGTCTTAATCTGACCCCTCTAGGGACCTCATATCAGTGGAATCGCAGAGGGTCTGTCCTTTGTGACTGGCTTGTTTCCCTGAGCAGACTGTCCTTGAGGTTCACCCTTGTTGTGACAGGTGTCAGAATCTCCTTCCTTTTTAAGGCTGGATAACCTTCCATCGTGTGGATAGACCACAGTTTTGTTTATTCATTCATCCGTCTGTAGACATTTGGGTTGCTTCCATATTTTGTCTGTTGTAGGTAAATGGAATTTTAAAACTTCATTTTCCATTTGTTTATTGAGAGTATAGAGAAACAGTTGATTTTTATCAGTGTGTGGAGTACGAGGTGTGGCTGCAGCCCTCCTTGGGGCTTCGCTGAGGGCCAGTCCTCAGGGTATGGTCCTGTCCAGCTCTCCGCCGGGCCGGGGGGCAACTGCTGAAGCCCTGGGCTGGCCCGCGTGCAGCAGCTGCCAGTGACGGGCGCCACTTCTCGCAGAGTTAGCTCCCACCCAGCTTTTCTTTTCCTTTTTTAAACTCTTGGCCGTACTCCACACAGCATGGGTGACAGATCCCCAGCCAGGCATCTGACCTGTGCCCCCTGTAGTGGGAGCAAGGAGTCCTGGGAGCCCCCCGCACCCAGCTTTTCTGAAACCGCATGGTTTGGCCCCCGGGGTGCCTGCGGAGCCCTGTCCGCTCCCTGGGAGGGCCCGCCGCCGCTCCCCTGCCGTTGTGAGAAGGCGTGCTCTCCGCTCACCCTCGGCCCTCTGCCCGTCCAGTTTCTCCGCATCTGCGCTGACCTCTTCCGCCTCGTGCCCTTCCTGGTCTTTGTGGTGGTGCCCTTCATGGAGTTCCTGCTGCCCGTCGCTGTGAAGCTCTTCCCCAACATGCTGCCGTCCACGTTCGAGACCCAGTCCAGCAAGGTGACCAGCCCGTTCCAGGCCCAGCTTGAAGTGGTTCCAGAGCTGCATTGTTCAAGTGTCATAGGTTATGGTTTCTCTAGAGCAGCGTCCCCAAGCCCAGAGCGAGGCCTGTTACAGGGGAGCACACGGGTCTGGGGCAAGGCTGGCCAACTGAGGCCCACGCCGGCCCCGCCCCCTGGGCAATAAGGCCTTTTGGGGACACGTGTGCCCCACTGTGTATGTACTGTCTGATGGCCTTCATGTTTCCCGTGGCTCAGCCCACAGGGTCTGAAAAGCTTTACTAACTGGCTGTTTATGGAATTTGTGGGTCCCTTCTGTGGTGGGCTGTGGCGGGGGGCAGGTGTGTCACCCAGAATTTCCTGTCATGAGCTAGAAAGTTTGGGAACACAGCTCATCGGTGGAGGAAGCGCTGTTCGGAGGCAGCGCTGTTCAGAGGCGCCTGGGAGGCTGGGCTGGGGGCATGTGCACTCGTTGCTGGGGCTGCACCGTCGTGCCGGCAGCTGGGGGCTGGGGTGCAGTGCCCTCTCTGACCTCGCAGGAGGAGAGGCTGAAGAAGGAGCTGCGGGTCAAGCTGGAGCTGGCCAAGTTCCTTCAGGACACCATCGAGGAGATGGCCCTGAAGAACAAGGCTGCCAAGGGGAGTGCCACCAAAGACTTCTCCGTGTTCTTCCAGAAGGTGCTGTGATGCTTTGTCCCTGTGGCTTGTCCTGTGGTCCCTGGAGCTGGTTACAGGCTGGGGCCCCTGCCTCCTTTCCCCCTCTTTCGCTGTGCACAGTGAGGGTGGGGTTCAGGGCCAGGGCTGGAGGGATATAACTGGTCCCACCCCGAGCCCGTGCAGGCCACACCGCTGTCCCGGGGATGTGCACTGCCGTCCACCAGCCTCTTGTGGGTCTCCAGACTGCAGCAGCCCTGGGGCAGGAACCGAGGGCCCACACTTGTGACAGGCGGGGCCTGGGCTGGAGGGGAGGGGGCAGACTGCCCCATGGCCATGTCCACTCTCGGGGAGGGAGGTGGGTTTTCTGCCCCACATGGAGAGGCCCCAGCTCCTTCCTGCCAGCCGCCTTTGCCTGCTGGCACAGCACGCGGGGTCCAGGGACGAGACTCCGCGTGCTGCATGACGCCCTGCTCGCAGAAGCCTGGCTGGTCGGCACTCGAGTGTGGGTCCCACTGGCCGCTCCTGTGGGCGTTTCTGAGCGTAGAGCTGAGGGAGGCTGTGGACAGCCCTTCTGCTTTGTTTCCTGACTCGAGGCGTGTGCCCGGGGGTTGTGGGGGTGCCAAGGGACACTCAGCCCGCTAGTAGTGACCCTTGCGATGGCTCCCGCAGATCCGCGAGACGGGCGAGAGACCCAGCAATGAGGAAATCATGCGTTTTTCCAAGCTGTTTGAGGACGAGCTGACCCTGGACAACCTCACGCGCCCGCAGCTGGTGGCGCTGTGCAAGCTGCTGGAGCTGCAGTCCATCGGCACCAACAACTTCCTGCGCTTCCAGCTCACCATGAGGCTGCGCTCCATCAAGGCGGACGACAAGGTGGGCGCGCGTCCGGGCTGTGCTGGGGTCGCACGGGTTCAGCAGCCATGACAGCCCACCTCCGTGGTAGGAAGTAGTCACTGAGAAGGTGGGTTTTACAGCGGCCTCACTTGCATCGTAGGGGTATGTCATAATTTATTATCCGTTACTTTAACGAAGCTTGTGCTTCCCTAAAGAGCACTCTGATCAAAGCCTTTTACTGTAGGTTTTACCCCAGATCTTTGATAAATCCTATAAACTAGTGACCTAGAACTGGGGCCGCCCGAGCAAAGGGCAGGAAGTCAGAAGCAGGTCCTGACCACGCCCCGGCTGCCCCCTGCTGGCCCGCAGTCGCCTCGCGTGTGCGTCTCCCGGGAAGAGGCCTCGGGGCGCCCGCGTCCTCTCCGGTGCCCTTTCAGCCTTCGTTCCGTGGCGTCTGGTGTCTGCGGTGGGCCAGCTTGCTGTTTCACTTACAGGATTCCCGTCCTGACATCTGCTGAATGTGCTTGCTGTTGTTCTGACCTGCGCGGACAACCTTCTGTCTCATAGCTGGCGTATTTAGTTTATACTCTGTTCCTCCTGCCAGTTTTATGTTCCACTTAATCTCTTTCCTTGCCTTCTTTGCATTAATTAGCTGTTTACTCTTGCGTCCTCTTTCCATTAGCTTATTTACTTATTACCTGAGCTGTTTCTCTAGAGTTTACAGCCGGCTTCCCTGAGCACAGGAGTCTAGCAGAGTAGATGCTTTTCCCGCCACATGTGTGCTGGGGCTGCGGGGCCCTGCCGCATTACCCTCCCCCTTGTGTGCATTGCCTGCGTGTCTGTGCACCACCACGTGTTTCTCCTCCTGACGCCGGGCCTTCCTGCCTGTTTCCACCCAGGCCGTTCCCTCCACTTGACAAGTCCCCTCTGTATTAGCCTCCCTCCTGCAGGGTGTTGCTGGGCAGAGGACCCAGGGCTCGCGGGTCTTCTTCATGTTTAAAGATGCTGCTGAGTGTGTGTCAGCCACCAGGCCTGTTACTGTTCTCTGAAGATGGCCATCTTTCTCTGCAGCACCTCAGATTTTGTTTGGATTTATCAGTTTCACAGTAACGTCCCGAGATGGTGTGTCTCTACTACTGTTTCCTGGTTCTGGTGTTTCCATTGTCTCATTAAATACCACCCACCCCCCAGTACATCAGGTTACCTATCCTCTCTTCCTCTTGATCTGATTACTCTTAAATCCATCCTCTGAGATTCCCATTTTCAGGTAAAACTGTCTGTCTTGTTCTCTGGAAGCAGATCAGTACCGCATTTCGTAGGCATGAAGAGACGTGGTGTGGAAAGCCTGCCATGTGGCTGCCCCACCTGGGAGCAGGCAGCCTGAAGGCAGGCAGCCTTGGTTGGGGCCTGGCCACTCACTGTTGTGTGATGTTGAACAGGGGGCCTGACCTCAGTGCTGGGACTCCTGGGAGGTGGGGGGCGGCCAGACCTCTGCAGTTGAGCAGTGGATGGGGTGTGCTTTCCTCTTGACGTGAGGTGAAGACCTGCATAAGACGTCTAGAAAGCAGGAAGAGGCGTCTGAGACCCCGGGACTGACGGGAGGTCTGTGCCTCAAGAGACCCAGCCTTGGGCCTGAAGACGCCCGAAGGCACTGATGAGAACAGACTTCAGAAGCCTGTCCTCTGAGCACAGGAGGGAGGTCACCCCGCAAGACAGGAGACGTCTGAGCGTCGCTGCAGCCGGGCGCCCAGGACGTGTCCCCACCCTGCCCCCGTGCTGGGCGGCAGGGCTGAGCGTGGACCCCTTGGTGATGTCTGTGGAGGCCGGCTCGTCCCCTGCTGCCCATCTGTGGTGGGGACCTGCCGGAGGCCGCTCTCCACACCCATCCTCAGGCCTGAGACGCTCACCCCCCACCCCCCAACTAGAGTGGTGTCAGGAGGGGCCGGTCAGGAGGCTCTCCTGCCCCTCCCAGCCAGCAAGCATGCTGACGGGGGCCCAGAGTCCACCCACCCGGTCCAGCAGTCAGAAGAGCCTCTGCCCTGACCTCAGTGGAAGCCAATCCCACCTGTTCCAGAACGTGCCCAGGATGCAATTTACGGGTACGACTGAGTGATGTCACGGAGAGCTCAGGGCCGTTGGAGGGAGCTCGTGCTCACAGTTCCCAGAGACCAGGAAATGAGGGGAGGCAGAACTGTGACTTGGCCTTTATCCCTGGTTCAGTGGGCGTGGTCAGCTGGAGACGTTTCTGATTGGGCAGGAAGTGAAACAGAGGTCTGGGTTTGTGGTTGGAGAGTTTGAAATACAATTTTTGCACACCCAGGAAAGGCCACAGGGGCGATGTAAACAACTTTGGCTGTTAGTTTGGATCAGTAGATGCTACACTGTCTGTTACACGCCTGTGAAAGTGGGGTGTCACACCCCGCCAGAGTGCTGTGGGAGGGAACCTGCTAGGACAGAAGGCAAGAGAGCCAGGACCTCGTAGCCCCAAACCCAAAGTGTCCAGCCTCCTCTGAAAATCACTCCTCGTGCTAAGAACCAGGAGGAAGGACCTCAGTGAGAAAAGGCAGTTGGTGGGCACCAGCGCTGAGTGGACAGATACAGTGGGTCATATTGACCATTGGCCATTTCCCAGATTCAGTAAAAGACATAAATCTACAGACTTAAGAAACCAAGTGAATCTCAGACAGGACGTACCCATAGAAATCCACATGAAGACAGAATCAGATGAACAAACTTAAAAGACAAATAATTTTGAAAGTGATAAGAGAGAGTGCAGGGCAAACAGTTTGAATGAGAGTGCATTTCTTGTCACAAGCCTGGAGGCCAGAAGGAACTGGGAAGTGTTTCTTTATGTGCTGAAAAAAAAAAAAACTGTCAACTCAGTCCTGTATTCAGCAAAAATAAAAATTAAATTAAAAATTTAGAAAAAACTGGGATGAGGGGGAATCAGGATGTTCTCAGGTGAAGGAAAACCAAGCTTATGGCGGAGCATCTGGAAGCGACTGTGTGTGACAGGCGACAGGCTTTCACTCCTGCTGGTGAGTTGGCCCTGTGAGGTGAAGTGTGATGGTGGAAGCAGAGATGGACTCTGTGTCCAGCGGTGGCGTTTGGATGAGTTCAGTCAGCGGGGGAGGATGGGATGAGGCCCCTGCGGGTCAACTCGTGATGAGTTGAATGCATCCTGCCCTCAGAGCAGCCCCTGAAAAAGGACGCGGCGATGCGCTGGGAAGCGCAGAGGGCCCGTGGGCGCTGCTAGAGGATGGGCAGGGGGAGTCATCACACCACCTCTCATAACCACTCAGCGCTGGAGACAGGCCAGACGTCCTGCCCTGGGCGAGCGGTGGGAGCAGGACCATTGTGGGTGTGGCGTGCTCACCGACACAGGGGCTGCCTGGGTCTCCAGGGCCAACCGGAAGCTTCCGCAGCGTGCAGATGACCGATGGCAGAGCAGACTCTTGTCCGGGGGCGGCTGTGTCTGAAGGGGCCTCTTGAGGTCCTCGTGGGCACGGCTTGGCATCGCCTCCCGGGCGTGCCCTGAGACCACCCGTCAGGTGTGACGGGGGCCCTCACGGCTGCACAGGGTGCCGTGGCTGTCCCCGGGCTGGCAGCGGGCGCTGTTGGCCTTCTCCTTCCCTTCTGTCCCCTCATCCCTGCACAGGCTCCTCGAGACCCCGGTGATGTGCCCCCTGCCCCGGGCACTCCTGCGTGCTTCCCGCTTGGTCACTGCGGCCTCAGGCTGCACAGGGAGGGTCAGGAGGCATCTTGAGCGCAGTCACCCCAGTCCCGTCCTTCCTCTCCCGTCCTGGGAACACAGAGGACGCTGGCTGTGCGGGGCACGGGAGGACTGCGGGATTCAGGCAGCGCGGGGCCTGGGCCTGGTGGAAGGCCTGCATCCCGCAGTGGGTCCTGGCCCTTGACCCTGAGGTCCCTCCCTCTGTCAGATGGTCTGGTCCCTGCAAACTCAGAACTGGCGCCTCGGGTGGGTAGGGGGGGCATTTTCCTCGTGTTTGGCAGAGTATGTCGGGAAGGTTCTAATCACACGCTTAGACTAGTGTGTGTATGCAGACAGCACAGACCCTCCCTCGAGGGGTGAGCCCTCTGGAGGTCACCGGCTTCTTCCTTCTTCCTTTGACAGCTGATCGCCGAGGAGGGCGTTGACAGCCTGAACGTCAAGGAGCTGCAGGCGGCGTGTCGGGCGCGAGGCATGCGGGCCCTGGGTGTCACAGAAGACCGCCTGCGGGACCAGCTGAAGCAGGTGCGTGGGGCAGGACCCTTCAACCCCGGCTGGAGGCCCCCGCGGCTCTGCGCCCGCCTGGCGGGGCCTGTGTACACCTGGGCAGGGCTCTGGGTCACCACTGGAGTCTTTCCTGCTACTCTGCCTGGTCTTGTGAGGATGCCCGACGGCCAGGCCAGCTTTCTGTGAGAGTCCCGCGTGCCCCTCAGTGGAGGCTGGGGTGTGGGCCAGTGGGCCCCAGGCCAGCCCGGCCGCTGCTGGCCCTGCTCTCAGCAGCCCCTGGCGGCGCGTCCTGCTCCATGTGCCCCAGGCCCGCAGTCTCACTGCAGGGCATCTGCCACCCGGGACTCAGGTGTGAGCGTGGCAGCCGACAGACACCTTGTAGGGCTTGAGGCGTTTCTGGGAGAGCTCACTCAGATGATGGGGTCCACTCAGGCACTGCTATGTTTGCTGCCAGCCTGCACCCCGCTCCCCTCCCCAGCGCAGACCAGAGTGGGGAGGGTTCGGCCAGGTCCTGTGGGCGGCCAGGCCGGAGGTGAGCCTGGGTCTTGAACTCCCGCTCACAGTGGCTAGAGCTGCACCTGCACCAGGAGATCCCGACATCGCTGCTCATCCTGTCCCGGGCCATGTACCTTCCTGAGACCCTGTCACCCGCTGACCAGCTCAAGTCCACCCTGCAGACCCTCCCGGAGATCGTGGTGCGTGCAGCCAGACCCCTCTGCTACTCTGTTGGGCCCCTCGCTTCTCGGGGAGATGCCCCCAACTCTCTCTCTCTTGTCTGTCTTTTCTCCCCTGAGGGCCCTGCGGGACGTGGGAAGGTGGCCCTTGGGGTCCTTCTCCTTGGGAAGCAGGCCTGGAGGGGACAACGCCTGGAGACACTGGCTGGGTGCTGGGGCTGTGCTGGTGGGGACGCTGCCCGGCGTTGGGGCACGCTCACGGGCTCCCCTCCCTGAAGGCGAAGGAAGCCCAGGTGAAGGTGGCCGAGGTGGAGGGCGAGCAGGTGGACAACAAGGCGAAGCTGGAGGCCACGCTGCAGGAGGAGGCGGCCATCCAGCAGGAGCACCGCGAGAAGGAGCTGCAGAGGAAGAGCCAGGCGGCCGCGGCCCAGGCAGCAGTGAGTGGGGCGGCGCGGGTGTGGGCGGGGGGTGAAGCAGGCGCTGCCAGCCTGGGCCCAAGACCCTGAAGCTGAGGATCGAGGCCCTGTGGATGCTGGGGCCTGGAGGAGGAGCGGCGTGAGCGCGCCTCAGCCCATACAGCGCTAGCTTGGAGCGTCCTGCGGGGGAGCCTTGTGGAAGTGCGCTTGCTGCCGGTCGGCCAGGCTCCACAGACCTCGACCCTCATGGAGCTGGCCCTCTGGCTAGCGGCGTCTCTGCCGGTGTGGACTCCCCAGAAAGCCGCGGTCCTGCAGTGGGTGCTGAGCCGGCAGCGGCCTTGCGTTTCAGAAGGAAGCGGAGCCCGAGGTGGTGGCCGAAGGTGCCCCGGGGAGGCCGGTGGCTGAGCTGCAGCCGGAAGAGCCTGCTGTGATCCTGCCTCCCGAGGTCTTGAAGGACAGCGCGCCCGTCCTAGAAGGCTTGAAGGTAACGGTGCTCACCAGAGGGAGCGGTGTGCAGCCGCCAGACGCCAGCGGCTCCAGGGGCTCCCGAGGACGGGGGGCCCAGACGGCTGCAGCCTGGCTGCGGAGGGTGACGGTGCACGGTCGCGGGGTGTGGAGAGCGAGCCCGGAAGGGAGGTGGCCCAGCCTTGGCTCAGCCCATGCTCCTCGGGCAGGATGCCCAGCAGGGATACGGGTATGGTCCTTGTGGAGGCTCACTGTGCTGTCACCTTCCAATGTGCTGCATACCTGGGTGCTCGCTTCTGGCAGCCTCACCGTCCTGCCCTGGACCCACAATCAACACCCCTGCCGCCGGGCAGGCCTTGGTACAGGGGCGCGGCGGGCGGAGCAGCTTCTGACGGCGCTGCGCGGGGTCATGCTCACGGCAGGTGCAGTGTCATCGGTAGCTGGCGTAGGAGAGAGGAAGCAGGGCGGCAGGTTACATCTGGGGCTTCCCAGCGAGTCATGGGGTGGGGACCCCTGTGAGGTCGCGCTTGTCAACACCTGGGTGGGGCTGGGCTTCGTGAGGTGTGCCAAGGGCCCAGGGGTGCCATCTGAGGATGGAGCCCTGAGGGCCAGCGTGGGGTCATTGGAGGTGGAGGAGAAAGCCCCACTGCAGGGCCTCAGGGAGGAGCCGGGGGACGTGGGCCCTCCAGGCCGGTGGGTGGGAAGGGCCTGTGATAGGGCACGGGGTGGTGAAAGGCTACTCGTGTGAGAAGAGAAGGCATGGAGCGTCGGGTGGGGGTCCTGCTGAGGCGCGGCTTCGGGGGCAGCGGTGGGCGGGGGCTTGCACAGCCTGCGGTATGCCCACTGTGCTCTGCCCCAGCCAGTGACGGCCCGGGAGACAGATGACCAGCGCTCCATGTCACTGACATGCGGCTTGAGTAACGAGGCTCCTGGGAGCCCGGGCTGCCCGTGCCTCTAAAGGAGACCTGGGAAGGGTCAGGGACCGAGGTCCCTGAGGTCATTCTGAAGGCAGTTTGGGGCTGAGGCGGGAAGCAGATTAGAGGCGGGGTCTGGCAGGCTCACAGAGCGCTGCCTGGGGGAAGGGCTCATCAGTCTGCACTCGGGCCTGGTGATGGCTCCATGCAGAGAGAGGCGGCCCATTGCCAGTGCAAATAGGACTGAGGCAGAGAGGGACGTTTGAACTCTTAGGAGAGCTTGTGAACTAAGGGTTGCCAAAGATGACTTAGCAGGAAGCACACAAAACTTCAAACAAAGAACCTTGGCTTATGAGAAAGATGCCTCGGAGAGCGGGGCAGCGCCATTTCCCGTCTGCAGTGGAGGGGTCTTGGGGTGTCGGCCGTCTCCGGGGACAGAGAACCCAAGTCGCTGAAAACCTCACCGCAGGGAAAGGCTTCGGGGTAGCAGTGCTGCTGCGTCCACACAGAGGGAAGAAGTCCTTCCCGGACCGCACATCCTCTTGGCAGGAAGCTGAAGAGGAGGAGGACCCTACCCTGAGATGAGCGCCTCCGGAGGCCACACCAGGGGAGTCAGAGGCAGCCACAGATGGGGTCTGTCCTGAGCAGAGTGTGGTTCTCCGCGAGCTCCAGAAGTGCCGTGTGGCTGCTCTGTAAGAAGGACAGTGCGGCGTGACTGGCTGCCCTGGCTGTCAGTGGTCAGGAGTCCACCTGCCCGGGAGGGTCCCACAGGCTCAGCCTGTGAGCCGCCGCTGGTGAAGCCGACACACTCTGGGGCCTGTGCTCTGCACCAGGAGAAGCCACTGCAAGTAGAGCAGGCCTGCACGCGGCAGCGAAGACCCAGTGCAGTCAAAACGATGAGCAGATGTTCATAAGTAAGGATTAGCTGAACAAATAGTTAAGTTAGAAAACGCATCATGACCTGGTGGGGCTTGTTTAAGGAATCCAGAAATATTAGTGTCACAAGCACATTAACAGACTCAAGAGCAAAACCGTGAGCGATCGTCTCAGCAGAGGTACAGAAAGTAGTGGGCTGAACTGAGCCCTGTCCTCAGCTGACGTGGGAGTGAGCCTTCTGACCACAGAGCAGCGAGGGGCGCCCCTGAGCGGCTGGCGTGTCCGCGCCCCGCCTGCTCTGCGTCGGCCGCAGTGTCTAGCCAGGATGGTTAGAAGAGAAGATGAAGTCACATGGTGGTGGACTGTTCACAGGTGCCGTGAGTGCCTGAGAGTGATTGTACTTCTTAGTGCTAGAGATGAACACCCATGTTGAAATTTTCATACATGTCACAGATAGATCATACCCCAAAAGTGAACTACTTGGGGGTAAATTTGGAAATAGGCATGAAGACCTGTACAGGATGCTATAAACTGTTGTTGAGGTAAATTAAAGCAGTAAGTAGAGAGCTTTCACTGCACTCTTAAGACATGAAGACTTAATGTTGGTAGGCTGTTAATTCTTCCTAGCTGATCTGTGGATTCAAGACCACTACAATCCCAGCATCCTTTGTTGTTGACATTGACAAGCTTATTAACGTATGTGGAAATTCAAGGGACCAGCCATGTTTTCTAGACTCATTAAAAAAGACCCTGATGCTGGGAAAGATGGAAAGCAGGAGAGAAGGGGATGACAGGATGAGATGGTTGGATGCCATCACCGACTCAGTGGACATGAGTTTGAGCGCGCTCCGGGGGTCAGTGAGGGACAGGGAGGCCTGGCGTGCTGCAGTCCACGGGGTCGCAGAGAGCCAGACATGACTGAGCGACTGAGCAACAACAGAGGATGGGCATGATGATGGACGAGCAGGTCCTTGCACTGGCGGATGGAGTTGTACGTGGCGGTTAAAGGAGCACACCGTCACGGTGAATCTGAGTGACGGAGCTCGAGCCGTGTGACACCGTTTGTCAGAATTCCATGAGAATTCAATGAGTCTGTCATGACAGAAGTCCCAGGGTGGGGGGTTCCTGATTCGAGGAAACTTTTGGGGTGATGCTGCTTCTTGGTCGGGTGGTGGTGGCTCCGTGGGGGTCTGCCAGACACACCTGCGCAGGCACCCTCAGGAGTGGGGGGCACACCGGGGCGCGACAATGCTGCCTACAAGGACACGGCTCGGACGGAAAAGTGGGCCAGCCCTTCCGGCGAACCCAGTTACTCCCTTTCACGTAGGTTTTTTTGGTTTGCTGGTTTGTTTTGTTTCCAGGAAGAGGAAATAACTCAAGAGGAAATTGATGTACTCAGCAATGCGTGCTCGAAACTGAAGGAGCAGAAGAAATCCCTGACTAAGGAGAAGGAGGAGCTGGAGCTGCTAAAGGAGGACGTCCAGGACTACAGCCAGGTGGGCTGCGCTCAGCGCCCGCCACGCCTGCCGCAGGCCAGGGCCCACTGGCCTGGGGGCCTCTGGAGGGAAGACTGAGTTTACGGAAACCCCGCTCGGTACCGCCTCCAGTCATTCCAGTGGGTCCCTTTCCCCTGGAATGCTGGCCATTCGCCCTTGTAGGTGACAAGCAGGTATCTTTTTAGTTTCTAAACACATGAAGGTATCAGATGAACAGCCTGGTCACTGGGTATATGAAATCTTATGTTTGTTCGTGACTTCCCAAAAGAGACTTCTTTCTTACATACTAGTTCTTTTTCCTTTTTGAGATTGGTAAAACTAATTTGCCATTTTCTCCTCCTCCTCGTGGCAGCCCTCTCATTGTGCAGGTCCTCAAATCCCCATGTCAGTTCCCATTGTTCCCAGTGACGCTTGCTCTTAGGGAAAGCAGACACTCCCATTCCTTGATTCTTTTATCCATTAGGAAGACAATCAGGATTCAGAAATGAGTCCGGATTTCCTTTGATACGAAAACTATGTTTGAGTTTTCAAAGATGAGAACAGACCTGCATGGTGGTCAGGAATGAGTGAGCAGCTTTGTGGCTGAAGTAAGCAGGTCTGCTCCACCACAGCCCAGACCTTTCCCCTTCCGTGATGTAATTTGGACTGACCCACTTACTTTATTTTTTTATTTTTTAAATAAAACGTTTTATTGGAGAAAAATAGAACCACCACGTACACAGGGAAAAGAGCACAAAAATTCAACTGATACAGAACAGAAAGTCACAACTACCCAATGTTGTTTGTGATTACTTTTCAATTTCTTAAATGGCTTCCCTCAATTTTTTAAATAGCCTTGCCAATTTTTTTCAGCTGAAATAGCATCAAGTTTTCAAAAAATTAAGAGCCTCGGCAAAGGGACCAGCTTTTAAGATAACAAAGGTGACACCTAGAGTCTCCTATAGGACCAATTCTACCGAAAAGTTCCTGAAGCACATAACTACTGAGTCTGGTAGAACAGTAGCTCAGAGACCATCAGGGATTAGTTAGAACACTGACTCAGACGGTCCAGTATGCAGAGAGGACAAACAAAAAGGCTGCATTTCCCTGTCGGATGAGTTCACTTAAGAAAACCAAGGAGGTGCTAAGAAAATACAGGCAATGGCGCTGCTCAAAATAATTAAGAAGGCATTCTAAATACCGCTTATTATTAGACAATAGTGTGTAAAGTGATGCAATTAGAAAACAGGCAACTTAAAAAAAAATATGGTCACAGGTCTTTGAGAACTCAAGAAAATAATCAATAGCAAACAAGAGCTGAAAGTCTCAGCTGAGGGTTGAAAGTGAAAGTGAAGTCGCTCAGTCATATCCGACTCTTTGCGACCCTGTGGACTGTAGCCCACCAGGCTCCTTCGTCCATGGGATTCTCCAGGCAAGAAATCTGGAGTGGGTTGCCATTTCCTTCTCCTGGACTGACCCACTTACTTTCAAAGGTAAACTTAAGGTTTCTTTTTTGCCGTAAGACGATCTGTTTACAACTAAATAATTTTATTAGGATTTACAGGAAATCAAGAAGGAACTTTCAAAGACTGGTGAAGAAATGTATGTGGAAGAGTCTAAAGCCAGCAAGAGACTGACCAAGCGGGTGCAGCAGATGATCGGGCAGATGGACAGCCTGCTGGCGCAGCTAGAGGCCGACCAGAAGGCGGGCAAGCTGGGCCCTGCTGCTGAGGGTGCGCCTGCAGGGTGAGTGCGACGCCTTGGACTCCAGCCTGGGGCCTCTGACTCGGCACCGCTTTCAACCTGGGTACCTGCCAGCCACCCCTTCCCTCTGATCTGGCAGCTGTAGCTTCTCCATGATGCTGTCACTGAAGCAGCCCTGAGTCAGGTCTTCCTAGCACACTGCATGCGTGCACATGCACAGTCACGTGCACACGTGCAGATGTGCACACGCACAGACACACGCACACGTGCACAGTGCACACGTACAGACGTGCATACGCTTAGACACGTGCACACACACAGTGTGGTGCTGTCACCACGTCGGGAAGGCCTCTGGCAGCTTGCCTGCTCTCTCTGCATCAGCCCTCCTGGCCCTCTCAGGCCACCATCGCCAGTCCTTCCAGAGCCTCCGTGGGTCACAGCGCCCCCAGCCTCTCCCTCCCTCCCTCCAGCTTCAGCCCTGCTCGCTCGGCGCTGCGTCCTCAGACCACTGCGCGCTCTCCCGCCGCCTCCCTCGCCCTGAGCCCCTGCAGTCAGGATCCCTGTGCGGGGGCCAGCTCTGCACGGTGCGTCCCAGGGGCCTGGGTCGGCAGCCGGCAGGGGGTGTCCCGTGAGGGGCTGCAGATGAAGGAAAGCCCTCCAGGCGGCAGCGGCTGACTCCCCTCACTCCTGCGGGCTGGGCCCTGCGCTGCGAGTGCCCACATCTCCGGGGGGCGCCTCTGCCTTCCTGGGTTAGTGGCCCCAACTCCAGATGAGGCCAGTGTCCCCTCCCGGCCCCGCCCACCCTGCCCCAGGCACAGACGGGCCTGAGGAGCCCCCTGTCCTCATCGCCCCAGAGAGGCTGGTTGTGCCAGGCAGCTGTGCGCAACGGGCGACCACCTGGAGTGGTGGCTTCTGCCTATGTCCGCCCTGGCTGGAGGTCCCAAGCTGATGGGGCGAGGGGGCCCTGGGTGGAGGGCTGCTGGCTCAGGTCTGGGCTACGGGCCCACGGGGGTGAGGTGCTACATGCAGGCTTTGTCCCCAGGGAGACTGTGATCAGCGTCTCCGAGCTCATCAGCGCCATGAAGCAGCTCAAGCACATTCCCGAGAGCAAGCTGCTGAGCCTGGCCTCGGCGCTGGACGACAACAAGGATGGCAAGGTCAACATTGACGACCTCGTCAAGGTGGGTCATGGGCCGCCTGCGCCCGCTCCCGAGAGGCCGGGCCCACCCGCCCTCTGAATACCACGTGGAGAAGGGAGGGCAGTAAGTCCTGGGCACGGGGCCTCTCCCAGCCCCGCAGGACCCCGGCGGGGTCTGGGAAGCATAGCGTTGGGGTGCCTGGGGCATGCAGCCCTGGAGAGGAGCCGCATGCCCCTCAGCATCCCTGGGGGCAGCTGGTGGGCGTGGGGCCCCCGAGGCCTGAGAGGACCCGGCACCCAGTGCTGGGGCTACACCTTGTCAGAAGCCTGTGGGCTCCGGCGTCTCTGTGGCTCTTGTGTCCCCAGCCCAGTGGGGACTCTCACTCAGAACACCAGCGGCCGCGGCCCAGCGTCCTCACCATGGTGGTACCTGCAGCCCTCCTTGGGGCTCCCGATGCTCTGCCCCGTGGGGCCTGGCCTGCAGCCTCTGGGCTGTGCAGCCCCCCTGCCTGCAGCCCTGGGTCCCGGGAGGCCCAGCTGGCACCCTGCCCAGGCCTGCGGCCTTGGGCTTCCTGTGCCCCAAACCCCTCTCCAGGCTCTGTGTGGCCTGGGCTCTGGGGTCTGTCGGCTCCTTGGGGTGGGGGTTCTGGTCCTCAGAAGTCCAGGGCGGGTGGAGGACCCCAGTCCCTGGAAGGACAGTGCCGAGGGCCCGCCTGCCCGCTGTGCTCTGAGGGGGGCCTCTGCCGTGAGGGGCGGAGCCGCCTGAGCCCCACGTCCCCTCACTTGTGCACAGGTCATCGAGCTGGTGGACCAAGAGGACATCCACATCTCCACCAGCCAGGTGGCCGAGATCGTGGCCACGCTGGAGAAGGAGGAGAAGGTGGAGGAGAAGGAGAAGGCCAAGGAGAAGGCAGAGAAGGAGGCGGCCGAGGTGCAGAGCTAGGGCTGGCCCAGCCCCCGGCCCGCAGGCCCTCGCGCCCCCTCCCGCCGCAGTGGTCCCAACGTGATGCTGATTGCTTTGAAGTGATTCTTAGTGACGGACCTAATATTTTATCTGGAATAAATCAGAAACTTCATAATCAAGTAATTTTTAACACTCATCATTCCATGAAGATTGAGTCAGCTCGGAGCCCCCGTGCCCATCCAGGGAGGCTTCTCTGGGTCAGCAGGGGCCCCGCGCTGTGGGGTCCCAGCCGTGGTGGGCTAGGGTGGCCGGCCGGTGACGGTTGTGGCCCTGCACACCCCCCGGCTCCTGAGGCGGCTCGGGCCTTCCCGCTCACCCCCTGGTGGCATCTGCCACGGAGGAGAGGACCCGCCGCAGGGGTGCACCGGGCAGACACAGCCTCCTCGGCCTGGAGAAGCTGTTTCGTGTGTCACGGACTTGGATTCCTGAGCGTCAGTGTGAACCAGTGAGCAGACCACACCTGCCATCTCCGTGGCTCCCGGGAACCTCGTCTGACGCTCTCGTGTGGGCATCCACGTCCTTTCCTGAGTGACCTTGGATTCTCACCTAATCCTTCAACCAGCTAGCTAGCGCCGAGCTTCCTCGTGCGCCAGTCTGCCCAGCTGAGCAAAGTGAGCGTCAGTTACGCCAGGAAAGGTGCTGATGAAGCCCTTGAAAAGGAAGCCTCCCCTGTGCAGGAATTGGTCACGCTTCGTCATCGCCTCACCCCCCATCCTGGGTGTTCAGATGGATTTCATTGCGTCTCACCCCAGAGGGCGCTCGAGGGGCCTGTCTGCGTCCGCCTGAGGCCCTTGGCCTCGTGCATGCCTCAGGTCGGGGAGCCGAGTGGCTGTGGCCCAGCACCGTCTGGCTCTCTCTCTGGAGGCTTGGGCAGAGCCGACCAGAGCGCTCCGTAGGGAACTGATGTGGGCCCTGGGAGACGGGGGGCTGGTGGGGCTGGCGGGACGAGCAAAGGGGACAGCTTCTAGATGATTTGAAACCTGGTGCTCAGCCGCTGATGGACCTTGGACAAGAGGAGTAGCTCTGAGTCCTCCAGTGGACACCCATGTGAGGGGGCGGTGGGTGCTAAAGGTTTTTATTTCAGTTATTTAAGGGGGCGTGTTCTAGAGGCTTCCTTGGTATTTATTAGTTATCTCACTTGTTTAGTGGCCCAGTTTTCTGCTGCAGAAATGTGTGTGCTTGTGAACCTCGTGGTGGCCGGCGTGCTTGAGGAGAGGCTAGTCTTTTCCGGCTCCATCCTCATCTCGCTGCCTTTGCCGGGCACCTGGGGTGGTCCCCACATGCTGTCAAGCCCCCGACCTCCCCGCAGGGTCTGCCACAGGCAGCAGGCAGACCCCCCCCCCCAACTGCCCCCACCCTGGCGCGGCGGGCCCCTCCTCCAGCATCTGTACCCCGGGCCTGTCTGCTGCAGGCTTCCCCTTGGAGTTGCTTGTTTTTATTGTCCTGAACTTTATTTATTACAGCTGAGGTGAGTGCCTGGGTGCAGGCATAACGGGTGAACAGTGCTGGGATTGAGCGTGGGGTGTGATGCGGCGTCGGGGTGGCTGGCTGTCGGCTGGGTGCCCGGGGCCTGCACCCACCTTCCTGAGCTTTCTCAGGAGTGCGCTTGAGTCCCCGGGACCATGACACCATGCCGCATTCTTCCTGCTTTGCACCAGCTGAACACCCCCCTGTTATGAAGGATTCAGGAGACTGACGTAGCTTCCAGAGTCGCTTTGGAATATCCAATTTCAGATTTTAAAAGCAAAGGGCACCATGTAATTAGTGCAGCATCACCTCCAGGCAGTGACCCTCATAGCAGGCCCAGGACCAGCTTCGCCTGAGGGCTGCCTCCTTGGGCTGTGTGTAAACACCTTTTCTAGAAATAGCTTTTTTAATTAAAATATCAAACTCATGTTCATGTAACAGCTCAGAGCAAGATTTCTGAATCCCGGGGCCCGTCCACAGTTAGGGTGGGAAGTGGCAGGGTTGTCTGAGCGTCTGGCTCCGGCCGCGCTCCAGCCCGGCCTCCGGGGTTGCCTGCCCTGGGAGCACGTGTCCCGCCCATCCCCGCAGACTGTGCTGGAGGCTGGATACTCGACTTCCTGTGTGGAGAGGGCTGAATAAAGTGCCGTCTTTCTCACCGGACTGTTGCGGGACATTCTGTCTGACCAGGCTCTCCTCCCCACAGCCCTCAGTGGGCCTGGGGGTGGTCCGCAGTGGGCAGGGCTGGGACCTTGGCCAAAGGATCACCAGGAGGGGGAGATCCTAAGAGACTGAGGGCCCCTGGGGTGGGGGGGAGCACCGGCCAGAGCCCATCCCTGTCTGAGGGGCCCTGAGGCCCTGCAGGCCTCCCAACACCTGTGCGGAGCCAAGAGAACCGACCAGGCCTGCAGCCCCAGGCTCACATCTCGGCTCCAGGGCTGTGCCCTCCCTGGGCAGACAACTGAGGCCCAGCGGGAGGGCTGTTGGGCAGACGGTTCAAGGAGCAGGACAGACCCTGTCCTATCTCCCTCCCTCCCAGTGGGGACTTCAGCCTGCCACAGGCGACCTCCCCCTGCACTGGCCATAGCGCTGTGGGGGCTCCTCCCGCCCTTGCTGAGTCCCGACACCCTGTCCCCCTGAGCTGGGCTGTGGCCACTTGTTTTCTGCCCCGTGGGTTCTGCACTCATATACGGCTTGTGACCGGGTGGGAGGATGATGGTCCCTGCGGGTGCAGGCGTAGATAAAGGGGCTGCTGGGCTGCAGTGGCTCCCGTCCGAGGTTCATCTCGCCCCCAGCAGGCACCCAGACCCCTTATGCTGTGCACTGAATGTGTCCACTCTGCTGGGAGCTGGCCAGGGACAAGGGCTGCATGAGATGCAGGTGCGAGCTGGTGCCCGGGGACAAGAGGCTTCTCACCTGCACAGTTCAGAAGGTCGCATCAAGAGGCACCAGGCCCTAGCACGGCTCACCCAGGGCGGGGCAGGGATGGCGTACGGAGTCAGGGCTGCAGTCACGGGATTCTGTAACCAACCTGAAGGGACGCTTCTGGCCAAACTGAGGTCAGGATGAGTATCCATAAGAGCGAAGACTTAATCGATTGTAAGCAAAATCCACACACCCAGGTGATGCTGAGGAAGTTCCGTCTCTGCCGCCGGAGTGACAGAACAAGTGACAGACGGGAAGGACCTGGGGGCACCCAGCCTTCTCAGGAGGAAGTGGAGCCCATCCCAGGAAGGTCTTCAGGGGGAATTCCAGCCCGTGGACTGGCCGGGAGAAACCCTGGGAGCCACCTGTGCTGGGTGCAGCCTCCTGGAATGGCCATCATGGGGACAGGGAGCTTGAGTGACGGGTGGGGAGCTGGGTGTGAGGGCCGCTGGCCGTGTGTCCCAACCACTGCCTCATGCCCAGCCAGGGAAGTCTGACCCACAGGAGCCACCAGCATGTCTATGGCTGTCCCCTCTCCACAAGCCACACGCAGGAGAGGAGGGCAGGGCTGTTTCAGACGAGGCCTCCGGGGAGGGACAGCCAGGTGGGGTCCTGATTTACAGCCTGCTCTCTCGGTGGCTGGAGACCTTCGTTCCCGGTGGGGCACACGTGTTTACATGTGTGATGCTGCAGCTCCCTCAAGCCGGCGGGGCAGAAGTAGACAGCTGCAGCCAAGCATGTTCACGCACCTGCCTGGGGAAGAGGACACTGCGAGGTGTGTCCCGCCTGGCGAGGTGGGCAGGCGGCCTCCACAGGGTGGGAACAGGATTCGGAAGGCGAGGGGGCCAGGACTGAGCTGCAGACACACGAGCCCGGTGAGGCATCCCAGGCCGTGAGGGGAAGGCGGAGGGCGAGACCAGGCCAAGAGTCCAAGATTGGAGACTGGGGACTCTAGAGTCTCCGAGGGCGGGCAGGGTGTTTGCGGCCCGCCCCGGGCCTGGGAGGTGGGGTCAGGCTGGTGAGGGGCGGGGCAGCGATGGGAGAGGGTGGGGGCGAGGCCAGGTGCGCGGGGGGCGGAGCAGCGATAGGAGGGGCGGGACCGCAGGAGGAGGCGGGGCCAAACTGTTGAGGGGCGGGGCAGCGATGAGAAGGGGCGGGGCCGGGAGCGTGAGGGGCGGGCAGGTGCGGGCGCGCGGAGAAGTGGGCTGCGCCGCTGTCCGGCCAGCTGCCTGGCGCCCCCCCGCTGGGGCCCGTTTCTCTGGTCGGCGGCCAGCCCCGGGTCTCCGTCCTGTGCCTCAGGAGGCCGGCCCCGCGCCGGCCGCCGGGCCCCTGGCTGTTCAGACAGCGCATCGAGCCCCGCCAGGTCCGGGCCGGAGAGGAGCCCGGGGCGCGGCGGGGACGCTGCCCGGCCGGCGCTAGAGGGCGCGCCTCGCCCGCGCTGCGCCGGTCCCGACCGGGACCGCCTCCCGGCTGTGGCCTTGCCCGCGCCCTCCGCGTTCTGGCCCTCCCTGGCCTCCTTGCCCTTCCCGCCGCTATCGCCGCGTGTCCTCCGAGCACTGGACACAAACACGGGGTCTCTGGCAGGCTGGAGAGGCTTGGGAGGGGCCGGAGGCGCTTTTCCGAGTGGTCAGGCGTTGGGCGGCGCCGTTATCCAGAGGCAAGCCCCTGGCAGCCTCTCCTGGTCTCCAGAAAGAGGGTCCAAAAACCCCTCTCTTGAGAGGTGAGCTGAACACAGCGGTAAGGGGAGCAAGTTTCTTTGAAGCCAGAGTAAAAGTTCACAGTGCCCAGGGGCTGGTTTGTCCCTCAAGATGGTGGGACATGAGGGACAGAGGGGCACCAGGTCGCAAAGCAGGGGCACGTGGGGGAGCGCCAGCCGGCCCTGGCCAGAGCTCAGTCCCAGGCAGGATGGGACTCCACACAGCCACCTGTCCCTGAAGCCACCCTAGCCTCCCCGCTGGGCACCACCGTTGCCTCCTCCAGGAAGCTTTCCCAGGCTCATCCCCACCACTGCTGCATGGGTGTTCTGCTGTCTTGCCTCCCTCAGGCTCGGAACTCTGCGGTAGGCGGGCCCAGATCCCGTTACTGGGCCTCAGCTCCCTGGCTGACCAGCCAGAGTATTGGCATACAGTGCCTGCCGGAGTTGTGCAGGGGGCGATGGTGTGGCCTGGGGGGTGCCAGGCCTGGGATGGGGAGGGCAGCCAGTCAGGAGCAGGAGCGTGGCCAGGACTGTAGACTGTCGAAGCCCGGGACCTTGTTTACATGGGGTCCCATGGTGGGGTAGGGCACCCACCTAGAAGCCTCCCTCTCCCCAGCTGACTGGGTAAACAGACACAGGGGACAGGGTGGAGGCAGGGGGCCTTTTAACCAGCAACAAGTACCTGGATGTGACCCCCCAGAGTCCCTGAAAACCATGAGCTCAGGACAGACAGGATGGCCAGGCCCAGCCTCTCCTCACTGCCCCTTCACACAAACACATCATCTGCATCCCCTGCCCCTGGAGACCCCAGACCAAGGCAGTGAAGACCACTGGTGATGAGGTTCTGCACTGCCAGTGGCAGGCCCCTGTGCCAGAGATCTGGGCTGGAAAGCCCTGGAGAGCGAGACCCAGGTGGCTGGTCCAGTCTGGAGGCCCCCACCCCTGCTGCAACCAGGGACTCCACCCTCCTGCAGGGAGGACCTGGGAGCTGCCTGGGAGCCCAGGACGAGAGACAAGAAAGCACGGATCTGAACCAGGTGTCTGTTTATTTTTTGGAAAGCACGTCTGCCGGTTTGGCCCCCACAAGGCTGGGGTCCCTGAGAACAGAGACCACCCTGAGCCTGCTGACAAGCAGAGAACAGCCGCCCAAACTCAGGGCCGTTAACAGTACAAAAAGTAACAAAACTGAATCTGTGGCTTTCTCTCCCAAGCTTTGAAAGGTAGCAGTCCGGGCTATAAAAGTCTAGAAGCATTGCGTAAGAAGTGTTAAATCTACAGCAAATACATCTTGTAAAAACTCAATAAATTATATATATAGATATATATAAACTTGTAACATCTAATAACATCTGAACCTGCATGCAGGGGTGGCCCCCCCTGAAATTGCCTCCCTGCCTGGAACACATGGCAATTAGAAGAAATTGTATGAAAATACCAGCTTGCTTTGAAGTCTAAAAAAATAAATCTCCTAGAGAAAAATCCTATAGAAATCTACTTCTCCTGCAAAAGAAGGCCAAAGGGAATAAAATATCCTCATGGAATCATCTCAAACTATTAATGACCCTTTAGGGTGCCCGGGGGTTGGCTCCAGCCTTGGGGTGCGGGCTTGGAGGCACCCTCAGCAATCCCCTAAATGAAGCATAAACCTTTTCACTGTTAATAAGTTAAAACTTAAACCTCTGCCATGCAGCTGGCTAAACACTAGGGCCCTGGGGAGCGACGGGACATGGCTCTGGGTGTCGATAAATAGCTTTACAAATATACAGGTCCAAGGACAGAAAAGCCCCTCCCTACTCCGTGGTTTCTGCGTTTGTCTCAACAGCGAGTCCTGGGGGGCCTCCCCTGGCTAAGGGGCCCCCGCCCCCTGCCCCTTGACCCCTCAGGGTCCCGGGCCTCAGTTGTACCGGCCTGCCTTTTCCCATATAGATATTTATATATATATGTATGTGTATATCATAGACACAGCATCTATTTATATAAATGTACACTCATTTCTGGAATAAACCTTTCAGATAGAAGTTAAAAGGCTCCTGCCTTCAGGTACCCGTAATTTCAGTCTCTGGGGGGCGGGGTGGGGAGTGGGGAGGCCTGGAGGTGGGGGACTGCTAACACCCCAGGCAGAAGGTGCCGCTTGGCGGGGAGGTGCGCCGCATGGGGGCTTCCCTGAAGGCTCAGCTTGGGCACTTGGAGGGGCCTCGACCCACTCTGGACCCCGGAGCCTGGCCAGCCCCCCGTGCTCCCGGTGGGGGACTGTGGGCGGGGCAGGGAGCTCGGGGAGGGGCCCAGCGCTGTCCTGAGGGGCCCCGTGGGGGAGCCCCTTACATTCTACATTTGGTCCCCTGGTGCTGCCCGTCCAGGGCGAACACCCCAGGGACCCCAGAGCACATGCGTGTGTGCACGTGCGCCCACACGCATGCGCACACACACACACATGACGTTGTCTGTCCATCCGTCCACCCGTTCCAGGTCTTGGGCCCGGGCCGGCAGGACCCGGTGATCACGGCATGCCAGCGGCAGCACGGTGGGCTGGGGTCTGTTCTCACATTGATGGGGGCTCGGCCGGCTGGCCGCAGCCCTTCACGTCCGCGAGCCCCCGCTGCCGGGTGGGGCCGGGGGCAGCAGGTCGTGAGCGAACACGGAGTCGTCCCCCGAGGAGCCAGAGCTGGGGGTGTCCTGGCCGCCTGGCGAGTACTGCTCGAAGGGCACCGATAGGTCCAGGTACTCCTGCAGGCGGCAGGCGGGCTGCGGTCAGCGCGGCCCCTCCGCACGGGAGCCATCGCGGGGCAGGGTGGGGCGGGATGGGGCCACTCACGTCGGTGGACGTCACGGTGAGCACGCGGTCCAGGTCCTCCACCAGCTGCTTGAAAGTGGGCCTCTGCGAGGGCGCGGCGTGCCAGCACTCACGCATGATCATGTACCTGGGGGACACTCAGGTCGGCCCCGCCCTGTGCTCGCCAGCGCCCCGCCCTCGGGGCTGGCCTCCCTCTCCCCGTCCCCAGCGGTGGGGGCGCACTCACAAATCGTGCGTGCAGTTGGCCGGCTTGTCCATGCGGTGACCTTCCTTCAGCAGCTTGAAGAGCTCCTCCACGGGGATGCCGGGGTACGGCGAGCCCCCCAGCGTGAAGATCTCCCAGAGCAGGACCCCGAAGGACCAGCTGTGGGTGGTGCGGGGCGCGGCCGCGTCAGCCCCGGAACAGACCCCACCGGAGCGCAGGGCTCAGCCAAGGGGGCTGCCCCCAAGACCTCCCGGGCGCCTGCCCCCAGCGGCCTGTGCTCCGCTCCCCGCCCACGCCCCTGCCAAGTTTGGGGCCACATACACGTCACTTTGGTGGGTGTAGACGCGGTCAAACAAGGCCTCGGGTGCCATCCACTTCACCGGCAGGCGGCCCTGGGGGGAGGAAGGGGGCGTGTTGGCTGCCAGGCGCCCTCCTGGCTCAAGAGCCCCCACCTCCCCGGGCTGAGCTCACGTTGGTGGTCTTCTTGTAGTAGTCGAGGTTGTGCACGTCACGGGCCAGGCCAAAGTCGGCGATTTTCATCACGTTGTCCTCGGTCACCAGCACGTTGCGGGCCGCCAGGTCCCTATGGATGCACTGGGGGTGGAGGGCGCGGGTTTGAGCCGGTCCCACGGCCTCTCCAACCCCCGCTCCCTGTCCCCCCACCCCCCGGTCCCGCTCACCTTCTGCGAGGCCAGGTACTCCATGCCCCGCGCCACCTGGTAGGCGCAGGACACCAGGTCTTTGAAGGTGAGCTGCTCCTCGGGCAGCCGGCAGGTGTCGAAGGAGTAGTCGGTGCCCGGGGGCCGCCGCGCCCTTAGGTATTCCCGCAGGTTGCCCTTGGCCGCGTACTCCACCAGCACGTACAGGGGCCCTGGGGGTGCGGGCGGCTCAGAGGGGCGCCCTGGGCCTCCCAGCGCCCCGCCCCTGCGCGGCCCCGCCCACGGCCCTCACCGCCCGGAGTGCAGACCCCGCCCATCGCCCCGCCTGCAGACCCCTGCCCCGCCCGCAGGCCTGGGCTCTCACCGCCCTGCGTGCAGGCGCCCAGCAGGTTGATAATGTTCTTGTGTTTTCCGATCATCTTCATCATCTCCATCTCGGACACCAGGTCCGATAAGTCCTTATCCGTGGCGTCATCTGTGTGGGGATGGGCAGCAGGGTCAGACAAGGCCATCCAGCCTGGCACGGGCCTCCTTGCCACATCCCCACCCAACCATCACCTTTCAGCATCTTCACCGCCACCGTGACAGGCTTGGCAGCTCGGTCCTTGTCGATGCCAATGGCCTCTGCCATGACCACCTGGCCAAAGCAGCCCTCCCCGAGAGGCTTGCCCAGGGTCAGCCTGGTAGCAGAAGCAGAGAGGCCATGAGCACACTGGCCTGCTTGAGGTCCTATCCCAGGCAGCCTGAGGTCAGTGCCACCGCCTCCAGGAAGCCCTCCACACCCGCCCCGGCAGCCCTGCTAATGTTGATAAAGGACACTACCCCGTGACCTCTGGACCGTGAGGTCACTTTTCCGATAGTGGGTCCCCCCTCACCCGTTTCAAGAGGGGGCATCCAGCCCCATATAGGCCTACCTGACTCCCATCTGAATTCAGTCAGGCCCGAGTGGGAACCCCTCCCCGCCATGGGACCCCCACCCTCTGTGCCCCCACACCCCCCAGCGGGTCAGGGTCCCAGGCCTGCGCACACCACTGACCGGGCCCGGGACAGCTCCCACTTGGGGTCGGCGGGCAGCTCGAGCTCAGAGACGTTGGCCAGGGTGGGGCCCTCGCCAGAGGACAGCCGGGCAATGCGCACCAGCGGTGTGTTGGAGCTCATAGACGAACTGGACTCCAAGGACACCTGCTGGGTCGGCAGGGGCAGGTTGGTGCCGCAGGGCCGGGCAGCCAGGACCCAGAGTGCGGTGCCCAAAGACCGCGTGCCGGGTGGGGCCTGACTTCTGCGTGGTGCCGAGCGGAGGTTTTTAACACGTTTTGCACCACAGTAACCCAGCTCTGCGGGGTGACTGTGAAGACGGGGAGGGCTCGGCCTACACCCCGACGTCCTCAGACTCCACAGAGGGGATGCACCTGGGGACCAGGGCAGCGGGCCAGGCAAGGGCACGGGCGGGCTCGGAACCTGGTATCTACTTTCTGTTACCTGTCGCTTGAGCGGGAAGCGGGAGACCTTGTGCACTGCGGGCGAGCCCAGGCCCTTCTTGGGTGGGCTCCTCAGGCGGTAGAGCGTCACGGCGGCCACGGCCAGGATGAAGAGGAGGAAGCCCAGCCCGTAGCTGAGGATGCCTGCAAACACGCCGCCAGCCTCACCAGCCTCCACCAGCTCCTCTTCGGCTGCAAAGACACAGGAGTCGGTGGCCTGGCCCAGCGTCACAGGAGCCTGCACGTTGCCCAGGGCCGGAGCTGTGGGCATGGTTGGGGGGGGGGGCCCAGGACAGGGTACAGGCCCTGCCCCTGGCGGGGTAGGGGGAGTGCCAGGCCTCGTTGAGTCTTCAGCAGCCAGAAGTGCGCAGGCCACGAGGAGCAGACAGACCCAGGAGAGAAAAGAGCCCAGCAGAGCCAGCAGCACCCTCACCCGCCACCCGGGAGACGCCAGCGCCACCACGTGAGCTGCCAGGGACCCCGCTGGGCTGGGGCGCTGTGGAGGGGGAAGGCCCATCTGGGCCGAGACAGGGCCCGGTGGACTCTGCCCGCAGGCCAGGTGTGGAACCCGGCCGGAGGGCTCTGCGGTCCCCTGGCCTCCCCGGCGGCACTGGTGTGTCCCGAGCCCCCAAGGACAGAGCGAGAGTGGCAGAAGCTGGTACCTGGCAGCACCACCAGCCACGCAGAGTGATGGGAAAACCCGATAGAATTGCCCGCCAGACACGTGTACTCCCCCGCGTCCTCAAAGGTGACATTGCGCAAGGATAGAACCTCTAGCTCCTTGTCGGTGGTGTTAGCGCCCGCCGTCTACAAAGAGAGAACACAGCGCGATAGGAGAGCGCCAAGAGCCGCCCGCGGGCACCGCAGCCAGAGTCCACTCGGCGCCGATCCGGCCAGGCTGCAAGGAAAACGCCGCCACCGCCATCGCAACTGCGGCCCCCGCGGCCGAGCGGCCTCTGCCCCGCGCGTCCACACCGAGCCCGAAGCCAGTCCCTCCACCGGCGAGTCCTCTGTCCCAAGTGAGCCAGACGTGTTGGCCGTCAGCACAGCAGGCGGGGTGAGCGTGCACCGGGGGAGGGGGCCAGGCGGGGGTCGGGGACCAGGCAGCCGGTAGGGCCGGGCAGAAGTGAGTAGCCGTGGGAGCCAGGGCCAGAGAGAGAGGAGGGGACAGAGAGACGGACAGACAGAGAGAGAGGGCACGCGTGCTAGAGCAGCTGAAGGTGGGCTCTCGGGCCTGGACATCTGGGGCACACACAGGGTGCAGGCAGGTCAGCACAGGCTATGGGGGTTCAGAGCAGGCGGTCACAACAGAGGCGGGGGGGGGCGGTCAAGGTGCAGAGGCGGCCACGCTGGGAGCAGAGTGTGAGCCGGGGTTGGGGGGCAGGAGTGGTGGGGCGTGCAGGTGGGCACAGGGCCAGGGCATCGGAGCTGGAGCTCGGCGTGCCAGGCAGGCGTGGGACAGAGCTGTTACCTGCTGGGGGCCCGTGAACACGCAGCCAAAAGGCCTTCTCAGCCACGCCTATGAAATTGGAGGCTCGACAGAGGTACTCGCCCCCGTCACGCTCGGACACATTGGCCAGGCGGAGGCGCGCGTCGGCCTCCGCACTCTCACTGATCCACGACTGCGGGGACAAGAGACCCGGCTCAGGCGCGGGGGCCCCGCCGGACACGCGGGCATGACTGCCGAGGAGCTGGCCCTCGCCCGGACCGAGGAACGGGTGGGCAGACCTGGCGGCGCCAGCCAGGAGGGCTGCCTGGAGGAGGTGTGGAGACACCTCACAGCGGGCGCTGTGCTTGCACTGGACACAGCTGCCTGTCACGCACCCCCGCTGCCCACTGACCCTCAGAGAGGCCCTCCGCGGGGCGCTCAGACCGCCCGCCCCTGGGGTCCCAGCTGTGTCGCTGCCAGGCCTGAGAGCTCTGGGCACCGCCCCGCCCCCAGTCTGCACTCCCGTCCTGTCTCTCAGCCCCATGGTGTGTCTTTAACAGATGTTTCTCTTTGGGCGGCAGATGTTGCAATCACCCAACTCGGGTGGCCCCCACCCCGGGTCCGTGGGAACCGAGCGGACACAGCCCTGCCCTGAGGGCCCAGGGAGGCGCCTGCAGGCAGCGGAGAGCCCTGCTCTGGGTCTGCAGGCTGCTTCGGAAAGACACCGTCCCCCGGGCCCACCCTGCTGGGTCTCGCCCAGACTCAGCGCCTGTGTTCCCACCCCGGGCCGGACAGGCCTCCTGCCTGGGACGCCCTCCCCACCCGGCCAGCCGGCGGTGGTGCCCACCTTGAGCACGGTGACGTAGGGCGTGCCGTCGGGCCCCACCTTGCTGCCGTTCACCTCCACGTGCTTGAGCCACTGGATGTGGGGCTGGGCGTCACTGTAGACCTTGCAGTGGAACTCCACGTCGCTGCCCAGCACGGCAGTCTGGTTGGCGGGCAGCCCCGCCTGCAGGATGGGCCGGTGCGGAGAGCGCTCTGTGGGGTGGGGAGGGCTTCAGAGGCGGCCTGCGAGCTCACCTTGATGCCCCCGATGCGGTGCTCGCCCCGGAACTCCTTGCCGTTCTTCAGCCAGGTGATGGACGGCGTGGGGTTGCCGGCAGCTGGGCAGCGGAAACGAACAGTGTTGGCGGCCGGCACCGCTAGCAGCTTCTTGTCCATCCGCTCGGGCCGCGTCCAGTAAGGGGCCCCTGCTGTCGGGGGAGGGAGGGAAGGCTGCAACCGGGCTAGGGGTGGGCAGAAGCTTGCCTGTCCCCCTCCAGCCTGTTTCCCACTTGCGGAGGGGATGTCAGCCTTTTGAAGACCCCTGCCCAGGGCTGGAGGAGCTTCCAGTAGCCTGAATGCCACTTCTGGGCACGCCCAAAGCCAGGTCCCCTCACCTCCCTCAAACGCCAGCTCCAATCGGGGGGGTCCAGGGTGCCGCACCGTGACCCAGGACACAGAGGTGTCTCGGGGATCTCCACCCACCCAGGCAGGCCCATCAGGGCGGGCTCACCAACTGGCAGAGGGACCAGGGCATGGCAGGTGAGGAAGCCCAGCTTGATGGATGAGCAATGCCCAGCCACCCAGAGAACCCGGAGCCCTGTGATCGGCCGGGCGCCCGTGGGCATCTGCGAGACCCCAGGCCACACTCTGCCCCGTGGGTGACAGGATGTCCGGGAGGTCCCGCTCCCCTCCCTGCTTTCCGGGACTGTCCACCCCCACCCTCACGGCCCAGCTGGTTTTTCTCCTTTGGGGCTGGGCTGGGGAGGCCGGGCAGGCATCCCCCAGGAGGCAGGCAGCCCCACCAGCAGCCCGCTGGGTGTGCTGCGGCCTCGGGGGGGAAGACCACCCCCCCCAGAGTGGGCGGGACCCACAGGGGTGGAGGGAGAAGACGGACAGGGCGCCCGCTGGGTCCCCTCATCCCCGCCCTGCATCTCGTGGCATTGCAAACTCAGCTCCTCCAAAAGCAGACAGCCCACGTCCCCAGACCGGCCCCTCCACAGCAGGCAAAGCCCCCGGCCACTTGCTGTTCCAGGCCCAGGTACCTGGGCACTGTCACCCACAGGCTGTCACCAGGAACCACCGCGGGCAGCCCCTTCCCAGTAAACGCGTCTGACACCCACGGCCACGCTGGCACCCAGACAGCCTGACACCCAGAGATACCCCAACACCCACGGCCACCCCCTTTCTCCTGCCTAGGCTATCCCAGGTGCCTCCTGTTTGCCTGAGCCCCTGACTGCTGCCCCTGCCCCGGTTCACACGCACGTGGGAATGACCACAAGCCTCGCTCCCCCAGCCCTGGCCACGCCAGCCCCCCAGGTGCTCCTGGAGCCCCAGCCCCTGGCCCTGCAGCAGTGTGCACCCCACCCCTCACCTGCCCCAGAGCCCAGGGGTGGGCACCCACTGCCCCACACAGGCGGAACCCTGCGGAGTTGGTCCCCCGGCCCTGGTCTCACGCCTGCCTGCCGAGCAGGGGCCCAGTGCCTGGGGCGGGCGGGGCTGGGCCCCGGTGGGAAGGCAGGTCCCCACCCGGGCAGCCCCACACGCCTGGAGCCTGGTCTCACCTGTGTCCTCGGCCTCGTCGTCCCCATCTTCGTCGTCCCCCGAGGATGGGGCGTCTGTAAGGCAGGCAAGAGGGCGATGCGGGAAGCGGCCTGCAGCCAGGCAGGGCCCTCACTGGGCCGGGCTTCCCCGTGCCCCCCCCCCCCCCCCCCCTGGGAGCACCGTGCCCTGGCCACTACCTGCCACGCGCACGCTGAAGAGGCACAGCACCCGCTGGGAGAGGCGCTGGCGGCAGCTGTAGGCCCCGGCGTCCTCATGGGAGGCGTTGAGCACCTGCAGCCGCTGTGGGCCCACCAGGACGCGGTCCGAGGGCGCCAGGCCCACGCCGTCCTTCACCCAGACGGTGGGCTCCGTGGGCGCCCCCGCCGGCAAGCGGCAGCTCAGCTCCACGGTGTCCCCACTGCCAAAGGCCCGCTCCTGCGGGCTGGTCTCGGGGCCCGGGACCTCTGCGGGCAAGATGGGGGTTGAGGCAGGTGTCCCACGCAGCACTGGACGTGCTGGGCCGTCTGGGGCCTGGGGGCAGGGACTGGGGAGGCGGTCCTGCCAGCCGTCCTGTAGGGCGGGCCGGGGCAGGGGCGACTGTCAATGGTGCCAGGGCCGACTCTCCTATGTTGGAGACGCAAGGAGACAGGTGGGGGGGGGGGCCGCACCAGTCAAACGCATGGACACGGGACACTCCGGAGTGTCGTGAAGCATTTCTCCTGCTTTTTTTCCAATCCTTGCAAATGTTTGAGATCCACGCTGACCTCACAGGGAGCAGCACCGTGGGAGGTGGGAGCGCGCGTGCCCAACCTCGTGGGGACATCAGGGGGGGAGGACACGGAGAAGGGACAAGGCCACTCATCCCAGGAGGGGGTGCCACCCACCCCGGGACCTGAGAACAGATACTGCCCAGCATACAACGGAGCACCCCAAACTTCCCAGAACGGCTGGGGCTGAGACAGGAAAGGCCGGCCTGGAGTGGAGGCCCTCGGGGGCCTCAACAGCCTACACGCAGACTCAGAAGGGAGTGTCTTAGACCTAAACTAGCCTTGGCAGTGAGCACCAGGAAAGGGGTCAGAAATGCACGCACGTGTGGTGCTGAGTCTGAACGGTGGGGTGAGGGGACCGAGGACCCCATGTTACAGACGGGGACGCGGGTGGGAGGAGGAGGAGAGCTCCGGGCTCGGCCGGTGGAGGGCCCCCAGGCCAGGTGGGCAGCCCCGGCCCACCTCCCCCGCAGGTGCCGAGAAGCTGGGCTGGAGGGTCCTTGCAGATGTCCGCTAGGCCCCTGGGCCCTCCCGCTGCCCATTGCTCGCCCAGATCCCAAGGGGCCCACAAGGCCTGAGACCCAGGGGCTGACAGCCCATCCAGGTCTAGCTGCCAGGGCCGGACAATGCCTGGCAGCCTGGGCTTCGGGCCCAGGACAGGGCTGGGTGGTCCCGCCGCGCAGACCCAGCTGGGTTCGCCGCACCCTTACTTGTCATTCTGCTGATGCATGGCCTAGATTCGAGGCCCAGCTGCCCACTCTGGCCACGCCAGCTCCCCAGACAGGCCCTGCTCAGCCTGCCCACCTCGGGAGGCCCACCGGCTCAGGGCCCACCAGGGGGTCCCTCAACCATCCACGGTGTCTGCATCCCCTGGGCCCCCAGTCAGGGGCTCCCGGCCTGACCGGCAACCCCCAGCCCCAGCCATGGCGTCGTGTGGGGACCACCCAGGGCTGGGAGCCGGCTGAGGCCCCCCAGAAGGCCAAGAACAGGCTAGCTGTGGCCGCCTCGGCCTCAGGCCCCAGCCCAAGGGCAACAGCAGTTGGTTCCGGTTTGGTCTGGGAGGCGACGGCAGGTCAAGCCACCCGCACAAGTATCCGCTTCAACCCGGTCCAGCAGGGGCTGGGAGGACTTAGAACGGACCCCAAGCCAGACTCGCCTGCAGCCATCACCGGTGGGGGGGTGGGGAGAGGTGGGGCCTGGACCCGGCCGACGGCTGACCTCTGACCTGCCCACCACCCTGCCCCACCAGATGGCCGCAGACCCGGGCGGGGACACCAGTGGCATCACTCCTTCCTGCAGGTCCACTCCACCAGGCCTGCCCTGCACCAGGGGGGCCCCGGGGAGACCGGGAAGGGCCAAGAGGGTGGTCAGGCAGGGAACAGAGTGATGGACAGGGCGCAGTGGGCGCTCTACCTCGGGGGTGGGGGGCCACATGCCGTGGACTGCTCAGCCTCCTGTCCCCAGGGGCCTCGGGAAAAGCCTTCCTTGAGCCACACAAGGGGGTCCTCCCACATCCGCAGAGCCACCGGGGCCACACCTGGTATACGACAAATGTCCTCTGTGCCTGGTGGGTGCCCAAGTGCCACGTGCCAGCATCTGTCCCCGAGGGTCCACAGCACCTGCTCCCGCCTGCACCCCCAAAGACTAAGCTCAGTGAGGGGTACCGTGCCCTGGAGGAGCCACGCCAGGCCCTCCTCTGGCCCTGTCTCCCAGGACAGAATCCCCAACCCGTGACTCAGTATCCCCCACTGTCAGAACAGGGAGACCACCCAAGTAGGAGACTCAAGACCCATTCTGCCCTGGGGCTCTGCCCCAGGGCTGCTGTCCACCTGGCCAGAGCTGGAGCCTGTCTGTGGGGCAGGCGGCGACCTCTGCCGGGGGGACGTGCTCCTGGTTCGGGGTCGCTGCAGGCTTGGAGTCACTACCGTGGTTCAGTTGCTCACTCCAGTCTGACTCTTTGCGACCCCAAGGACTGCAGCACGTCAGGCTCCTCTGTCCTTCACCATCTCCTGGAGTTTGCTCAAACTCGCGTGCTACGGTTCACTCATTCACTACAGCTGAGGCCCCCTCAATGCATGGGGGTGTGCCCGGGTCAGGGGAGACCAGCAGAACAAGGATCGAATTCAGACCGGACTCAAAGGAATCCCCTGGAGCCGCTGGAAGAGAAGAGCCCTCCGACCTTGGACACATGAGGCTCTCCGCCTCCAGGTACATGCTTTAAACATCCCGGAGGGTGACCCACAGGGACCCTGAAGTCGGGGTCTCCCCCTCACCCCACCCGGAAAGAATCTGAAAGGTTTGGTAACAAAGTTAGAAAAAGAAAGGGGTGGGATTCGGAGGCCTGACTAATTCGGAGGCTAATGAGGGTTTACAGGATTATCCAGCCTAATCCTCCTACAACTGGCCACCAGGACTCCTGGATGGGCAAGGAAACTGAGGCTGCAGGCAAGCACCCGGACCTGGGGCAGGCAGCCAGTCCCTCGGGGCCCGGCAGGGCCTTGGGTTAAGGATCCGCCCCCTCAAAGAGGCTCACCACCACAAGCCTGCGTTCACTTGTAAATCACTCAGGCCAGCCAGGCCACCCCCGCCCCCAAACCGCTGCCTGGGCACTGCATCCCCACCTCCTCAATGAGACCCTGGCTCCTCTCTGGGCCCAACTGTAAAATGGGGTATGCTGGGCCACAGATAGGGCCCCAAGTGGGACTTGAGGGCCTGGGGGGGGAGGGCGGGGACGCTCCCCAGCTCGATGCAGGTGCTCAGAGGCCAGAAGTCCAGCCTCGGGCTCAGCCCAGGTTAATGAACCACCCAGAGGCCCGTGGGGCTCAAAGTCCAGCTCTGCCGAGGAGCAGGCAGGGGAGGCTGCCACCAGGGCCTTCCTGAGACGTGCCCTGCGCTCCCAGGGACCCGTCCTGGCCGGGTGGATCCCCTGCAACCTCCCTGCCGGGTAGGGGCCCCTGCCCAGTCCCTCACTGAGAACGTGGCTCCACGTGGAGAGGAAGCTCCCGGGGTGGCCGGGTGGTCCTGCCGTGGACGCCTCCTCCACTGTCCTTGACCTCTGCCAGCTCCAGCGCCATAACTTACGCTCCCTGGGAGAGAGCCAGGCTGGGACCTTTGTAAATTTCACAAGGCCTCAGCAGCTCCTTCAGGAACCGGATTAAGTTTATTGATCTTTCAACTGGCTACCTGTTTCGCCAACTTTCCTGCGGAGGCCGGGCCCGGTCCTCGGTCTTCCTACCCCAGGCCCGCATCTGGTGGGGACGCGGCAGTCCCTTAAAGGGGGGCGGGGGTTGGGGGACCCGCTGCCCGTCCCCCCCAACCCCCCCCCACCCTGCGCCGCAGGGGATCCAGGAGGCCTGGGCCCCGCCCCCCGCCCCTCCCCCGGGGCTAGTTGACGTTCCCCAGCCGTAGGGAGTAATATCTCTATCCGAATGCGAATGCTAATTCGGGCCCCCTCCCCGCGGCCGCCTATTCGGCGCCCCGGGACGCGCGGGCCGCCCTAGCCGGCGCTGAAAGCGCGCGCTGACCTCCCGACGGCCTCTGTCACGCTGCTCAGTGACACGCACATTCAAGCGCAGGGCCCGCTTTCATTCATAAAAAATGACATTGTTCCGGGAGGCCGCCGCCGCCGCCGCCGCAGGAAGGGGCGCGGGGGGCGCGGGGAGGGGCGGGCCGCCATCTGCCTGCGTCCAGCCCGCGGCCGCCGCCTCCCTGGCACCGCGCGCCCGCAGCCGCCCGGCTCACACCTCCCCGCGAGGCCGGGCCGCCATCAATGCGCGTCTGTGGCCGCGCCGAGGTACAAAGGAGCGGCTGTTCGGGTCCCGCCCGGGTGGGGCGTGAGCTCACCGGGCGAAGGCCTCCCTCCGCGCGGCCGCCCGGCCGGGGCCGGGGGTGCGCGCAGCCCCTCGCACGCGCCGACCCTCTCCAGCGCCCCAAAGTCGTCGGTCTCCAGAGGGGCGGGCTCCCTACGGCCGCCCCCCGGGCCTCCCCTCTCTGCCCGGCAGCCACCGGGAGCCTGACAGAGCGCGTGCTGGGCGTGGGCACACGGAGCGCTCGGCCGGGGGGCGGTGCGCGCTTGCACCTCGGGGGTCCGGCGGCAAGACGCGCTCCATACCCTCTGCTGCCCGCGCCCCACGGGCCCTCCTCGCCGACCCTCGACGTCTCGCCGCACCCTGGTCGCCAGAGGGGGACCACAGCCCCACGCCGCTCGGGCATTCGCGCTAACCACTTCCCAGCCCGGCCTGGCGCTCGGCGCGCGCCCCAAGGAGACAGTTATCTTAACTCCCGGAGTGTGAGAGCTGGGAGGAGGGGAACGGAGGCACTAGAAGGTGTCGCCTGGTCGTGCAGGCCACCGAGGGGCTGGGGCCCAGCCGCGGGCTGACGCACTTTCATACCCTCCCTTCAAAGTCCAGAGTCTGCTTTGGCTGCAGCTGGCCATGAACTGGGGCCCGAAGGGGGCTGGGGCAGGGGCATCAACAGCAGGAACTTTCTGTCAGTTCGGACCCCGCAGAACAATGGGAATCGTGGAAACGCAGCCCCCAAGCCCTCCCAACCGCGCCCGGGGGGCAGGCTACGCCCGGCTGGGGAGCCGCGGGGGGCGGGGAGCGCGGATGCCACCGCGGTGCCCAGCTCGCCGCCACAGCCTCGTACTTGGGTGGCAGCCCTGCGGCTCCAGGCGCCCCACAAACTGCCGCGCCAGCTCTGGCCCCGATCCCCGGGGAGGGCGGGCGGCAGAAACCCGGACGCCGGCCCCGCGATGCCAGCGCAGAGCGCTACCTGGGGCCCACTCAAACATCCAACGCCCCACACCCACCTCGGCGCCCGTTCCCCGGCCCCGCCGCCGCCGCCCGCCGGGTCCCCGCGTACCTGTCGCTCTCCGCGCGACGCGGGGCTCCACGCCCGGGGAACCGAGGACGGCGCCGGTCATGACCGCCACTGCCACGCAAAACGCGAGGACGCGAGCCGGGGCGCCCATCGCGGGGGCGGGGGGTGCGGCGTCCTCAGGCGGCGCGCGCCAGCATGCTGCCCCCCATGGCCCGGCTCTAGCACCGGCGGGAGGAGGGCGCCGCTGCGGAATCTGCGGGAGGAAGCAGGCAACTCGTTAAGCGGGCGGNCCCCTCCCCTGGGGCGGTCCGGGGGCGGGGCCGCGGCCGGCCTAGCCCCTGCCCGCCGAGGGGATTAGAGAAGGCGGGGCGGGGCGGGGGCGCCCGGCGGTCTCGGAGGGCGTGGGAGCCGGCTCCTCCGCGAGGCCCCCAGTCGCACCATCGGGCCCCCCAGCGCCGTGCGGGCGCACAGAGAGGCCGAGCGCGCTGTCCCGGTGACTAGCGGGCCGCTGACCAGGGGCTCAGGGCTGGGGAAGGCTGGGTGGGGAGGGGACATAGGAAGGGGTGGTCTCTGCGGGTGAGACTTGTCAGGGAGGCTTCACCGCACAGGCTAGGTCCTGGGGCGGGCCTGAGCAGCCCAGAAAGCCCGGGACCAAGGCCAGTTAGGCCTGCCCGCCTGGGGTTGGGATGCTAGGGGCCTGCACTCCCGGGAGCTGGGGGGCCTGGTGCTGCATTTATGAAGCGCCTGCTGCATTCGCGCAGTGCTCAGCTGCCTGAGTTCCTGGCAGAGAAGCTCACCCAGGCACACTCCACCCCAGGGAGAAGTCTGGAGACAGGGTGCTTGCTGCGCATGAGAATGGAGAGAGGGGACTGGATGGCCCTGGGTGGAGGACCCTGACTCTGGGGCTCTGAGGAAGGCCGCGGTGGGGGGCTGGTGGCAAAGCCTGAGATGCCTGGAGTGGGGGGAGGGGGGCCTGGGGCAAGTAAGGCAGGAGGGACCCGAAGGAGCCAGACTGGAGAGGGTGACCCCTGGGCCTGGCTCTGGGTCCCCCAGCCAAGCGCCTCTGGCTTCTCAGACTCCGTGTGCTCATCAGCAAATTGGTCGAGGAGAGTGTCTCTGACCTGCTGCTCCAGCCACCCTGCTGTTCCAGGTGAGCCTGGAGACACCCCAGCCTTTGGGGCTAGACCTTGGGACCCTGAAGCGTCACAGGGAAAAGTCAAGTCTAACTCTGTGTTGGAACTATTTCTTTGACTTTTTTTCCATTCCTTTTTTCTTTTTATTATAATCATACAGAATGGCCTGCCTTGGAGAATCCTGCCCCTCTCCCTGTTAAAAGGTGCCTTGGTTCAGAACCCTGTCCACCTTCCTCCAGATGGCGGGGAGGAAGAAATCAACACATCACCCTGCCTAAGGCTTGCTGTTCTGGGAGGTATTTGCCATGTTCATGGACTTTTTCCTTTGTTGCCTCACCTCCCCTCATCCCTGATCTGTAAAAGAAGCTGGCATCCAGACCCCAATAAGGTAGTTATTGTGAGACATTAGTCTGTCGCCTTCTCAGTCATCTGGCTCTCAACCCCTTGTCTCTGGTTCACTGGCCTGCCGCGCGGCGAGCAGCGTGAGCTTGAACTTGCTGACAAAAGGGCCCACTGCTCTGTGCCCCCCCGACAGATCAGTGCCTCTGCCGTGTGCCGCCTTGGTTGCTGGCTCTGGTCAAGCCCAAGTCCCCCAGACTGGGCAGGGGCACCATCCGCTTCCGTGTGGGTCTGGCTGGTGGGCAGTGCTAGCAGAGGAGGGCATTCCCACGGTGCCCCCAGAGTGGTCCATGAGCCCCCGCTTCCTCCAGCGAAGGGCCCTGGTTAACCTCTGGGTGCTTCACACCCTGGATTCCTTTCCCAGGGCTGCTGCACAAATTCCCACAAACCGGTTGAGTGAAATTTAGTCTCTCCCAGTTCTAGGGGCCAACAGTCTGAAATCAAGGTTTCAGTGGGGCTGTCCCCCTGCCACACATTCCCCAGCCCCATCTCAGACTCTAGGGGAGGGCCCTTCCCGCCTCTTCCTGCCGCTGGTGGTTCCTGGCTGTCCTTGGCTTGTGGCTGCATCCACCCCAGTGTCTCCCTCCATAGCCACGTGGTTTTTCTTCTGTTATATAAGGACACTTGTCTTTGGATGTAGGGCCACCCAGATCATCAAGGCTGATCTCTTGATCTCATGAGCTTAATTTAAGGACTGCAAGACTGTTTTTCCAAATAAGGTCACATTCCCAGGCTCCAGGAGTGGATCTCCCTTTTGGAGGCCCCATCCTGCCCCTCATCACACACCCTCCCCCCACGGTGGCTGGTCTCTTTGGTGCTGCCAAAGGTTTGAAGTGGTCCCTCCACTGCAGCCTGTCTCCGGCGGCACCGTACGGTGGCATCTGGGTCAGGGTTCAGGAGCATTTTCACGGCTCTTGGCAGCGGACTCTGCCAAATTGCTTCCAGAGGGTCTGACAGTGCCTCTTGCAGCCCCGGAGGAGTCACTGCCCCCTTGGCCCCACCCTTGCCACCAGGGGAGGGCACTGCTCAAAGGCATTTTATTATTCTTGACAAAATAATTTTATTTGTTTACAATTATTGTTTCCAAGTCAGCACGTTCAGCTGGAGCAAGCTGTCCCACGGGGCCTTCCCCAGACGGCGGGCGGGCCCATGGTTCACAGGCCCCTGTGCTGATTCCCCCGGGGTGGGCGATGCCCCTGGTAGCCGGGGTTTCATCACAGCCCCTGATGGGGCGTCTCCTCCAAGACCCCCTGCAGCTCCGCCAGGCTGAGTCCTCCCAGCACCCCATGTGGTGGGTGCTCCCCAGGCCCCCTGGAGCCCAGGGCTTACAGTTGACCCCTCCCTGCCCGCTCCCCACCCCAAACACCGACCCCACCTCCCAGGGCCCACAGCACGGGGAAGGAAGGTGGGTGTGGATGCTGAGGGCAGCCGGGCCCAGCCCAGCCTGGTGGGTGAGTCAGAGCTGGGCGGCCCTGCGTGCCGGGGCTTGTGCAGGTGAGCAGGCCGCCCTGGGCCCCGGGTGCGGACCCCAGCGGGCTGTCAGCAACCCCCACCCCTCCTCACCCCCTGGCCCGGCCTGGGCCCACACTGGGTTCACGGCGCCAAGGTGCACTCAGCTCAGGGGAGTTTCAGCCTCTGCCCTGCCTGCATCCACAGCGCTCCTGCCCGCTGCGGCCACCGCGGTGCCCGACGGGCACCCGTCAAGGCCAGCGCTGAGCCAGGGGCTCAGGACAGGGGTGCCCCAGCCAGAGCCTCCCGCTCAGCCTCCTGAGGGACTGAGGCCCAGGGAGGGGCTGCCATGGGCTCGGGGCCGGGCTGGGGGAGACCGAGGCCCCGGGGCAGCCTCAGGTGTTCAGTGCCCAGCCCACCTCTTCCAGGAGGCTCGGGGGACCCCCCCGCAGGGGCGCCTCAGTCTCCAGCTCCCCCCTTCTCCCAGCACACGTCCCCAAGTCCCTTCCACCCCTGCCTGCTGTCAGGGCCCAGGAGCTGGGCCCCAGGGCTCAGAGCAGGTCGACAGGGGGCAGGCAGGGGGCCCCTGGGACGCCCTGCCGAGCTGGGCTGAGCCCGGTCCCTCCCCCCAAGGAAAAACAAACAGATTTGAGAGAGGTGGTGGCTGTTGTGAAAGCCGCTCGGTCACGTCCGACTCTATGTGACCCATGGACTGTAGCCTGCCAGGCTCCTCTGTCCATGGAATCCTCCAGGCAAGAATAATGGAGTGGGCAGCCATTCCCTTCTCCAGGGGATCTTCCCAACCCAGGGATCAAACGTGGCCTCCTGCACTGCAGGCAGATTCTTCACCAGCTGAGCCACCAGAGAAGCCCTGTTGTAGATTGTGGGTAATTTCTGCCTTTTAAATTCATTCTCAGAAAATAAAAAGCACAGTTGACTTGCTCATTATAGCAGAGATGTTAAAGAACATGGAGAAGTGGAGAAATTCCAAGGTCCGCTGGCCAACACTAACTGTTGTACAAGGTCCTTAATTTTAGCTCCGAGCTTCCTGGCAGGCTGAGCAAAAAGGGCAACACCATGAATCATGTGCTGTCGGAGGCTGTCTTCTCGGATGTGCGCTGACAGCCCCAGTGCAAACATTCCGGCCTTGTGCCCCTTGGTTCACTCTGACCGCTAGACCTCAAATCCTGACTTCAGGTTTGGAAAATGCGGTTGCTCCCAGACGGGCCGTAAAGGACCAGTGCTGTCTGGAGACACAGGAGTGACGGGGTGGGGGGTGAGCAAAGCTCAGGCTTCCCCTGGGTGCCCCCCCAGCTAGGGGGAGGGGAGGGCTGGGGAGGGCCAGCCCTCAACCCCACACTGGAGCCTGCCTCACAGTGCACAAGGGCAGGAGGGCTGGTCGGCGGAGAGTCTGGCTGGGGAGGGCCAGCCGGGTGTGGGGGTGGCCCCCAGGGCAGTGGGCTGGGGAAGGAGGGCAGTGGAGAAGGACCCACTGCTGGCCAAGGAGGAGTTAAGGCCTCCGCAGCTCCCGGGGCTGGCGGGGGCCAGGCCGGTAGCCGCTGAGCAGCTCAGAAATCTATTTTCCTAAGCACTTGGCATTTGCCTGAAACCTCAAGTGTATTTTCCCTAGGTTTTATTTTTTCTTTGACCCCAAACTCTGGTAAATTTAAGGGAAATTTAATTATGGTGTTTTGGGTCCATTTACACTTAAACCTTCTCAGCATTTTTTCCAGGACCCTTTTGGAGTTGAGCACGTCTTGGGAGCTTTCTAAATGAGCGTTTTTATTATTATTATTTTTTGAAAAGGCTTTACTCCCCCTGCCCCCACCCCCCAGGACCAGCCTTCCTGCCAAGAATAAACAAGGCTGACTCCACAGGCTCCGGCTGAATTAGGAATCCATCGCCGGCCGCCAGGCTAGCCCCACGGCATGTCACGCCCTCCTCCCTCTGCCGGGCAGCCTTCACCCTCCGAGCAGTGCCCCTTCCTCTGGGTTCTGTTGGCCCTCCCAGGAGGGGGTGTCACCTGCTCCGGGAGCCTCAACCACACACCCTCCCGGGGCTGGGGGACCTCGATCCCTTGCTCTTGGCCCTGCCGGTCCCTGTGTGGGTCACTCGTGGACCAGCTCCCTCCTGCTGCCAGCCAGAACCCAGGAGTTCAGAGGGGCCACAGGGTCCCACAGGCGGCAGCGGTGGCCTCAGTGTCTGTGGCTGGAGGTTGTGGACACTGTCCGGTCCAGGCTGGGGCCAGGACATGCCCCCCCAGGAGGCAGACTGGGGTACCCCACAACCTGTGAACCTGGGAACAAAAAGACCGAATTTTCGGGTGATGTGGCCCCTGGCAAAGCCCGCAGGGGCCAACTGCTCACACCAGCTGCAGTGTCTGTCCTGTGTGACAGGGGCACCCTGGGGGCGTGGAGCTGCAGGGGGACCCCGAGGCATGGAGTTGCAGCTGGCAGGGCCTCCCTAGGGACACAATGACCAGCTGCAGCTGCCCCCTGTGGGGAGGCTTCCTGGCCTTGGGGAAGGTGCGTGTTCCCCGCGCTGTGTGGGGCTTCCCTGAGAGGCCGCTTGGTCCCGCGGGTTCTGGGTGAGAAGGCTTTAGCTGTGGCCTCCCATCTCCCCCCTAGCCACTGGGAAGGAGGAGTGGGAGCGGTGGTCCCCAGGACCCCTTCCCAAGCCCAGCTGTTGGGGCTTTGAGGAGAGGGACTGTAGTTCGTGAGGGGTCTTGCCCAAGAATATGCTCGGGCGGGAAACCTGCTGTAGTCACACCCCTCCCCAGGGAACTGGGGCTTCTCTGGTTCCCCCCCAGGCCTTGAGCACCCCTGGGCTCCGCTCCCTGGACGCTTGGCACCCCAGGAGCCGCAGCGCACATGGGCTCTGGGAGGCACGTGTTTAAGCCGAAGAGCTGCCTGAGCGGCCGGCACTGCCCCATTTTACAGAAGGGTATGCTGAGGCACAATGGCGTGGAGCGCCTCCCCGGGGTCTACCCCGCACCGTCTGCTGAGCGCTCGCTCAGAGCCAGGCTGAGCGGTCCCCCGAGAGGGAGATCTTTCAGGGCCAGGGGAGAGGATGCCCTGGCCTCCTCACCCCCACCCCTGGCCCCCAGCGTCCGAGGGCTCCTCTGCCTAATGGCCAGCCCCCCGGGTACTGAGTCCGGGGCCAGCGGGGCGGGCGCTGCTGCAGGGTGAGCCTGTGGTCTGTGCTGTGTCTGAGGGCCACCTCTGCCTCTGCCGGCCCTCCCAGCGCTCGAGGCCCCTAATAGAGACATCTTTGAGGGCCCTCCCGAAGCCCCCCGCCCCTGCCTGCCTGCCCCAGAGCCCAAGTCCGCTGACAGCTTTATTGTCTGCCCAGGCTGCCCTGCAGGCGCTGAGGGCGTGGCCCAGATAGACCTGGGGGACTCCGACCTGCCCAGGCAGAGGGCAGCTGAGTGAGATAAACGACACCCGCCCCCTGCCCGCAGGGCCACGTCCATACCTGTGCTCACGCTGCTCTGTGCCCCGCTGAGACCGGACCACCCAACAGGCCACAGCCAGGGAGTGGCCTCCCGGGGACCCCCGGGCTCAGGGTGAAAGTGGGTGGGGGTGGCCTCCTGGCCGGGTGACACCCCCGAAGCTCTGGGGCGGCAGCCGCCCCAGGCTCCCCTCACTGCTGCCACACTGCTCCAGG